TGGTCATTGCCAATTGGTCAGTCTGCTAGCTCTCCCATGTCTTCACTACCAGCGTGAGCTCTGTGGCGTTGTCCTGGTGAGTTCACACCTTGCAGCGAAGAGGAAGAGCAAGAGGCGGGTGGTTCTCCTGCTTTGATGCCCTCAGAGTCGGAGCTTCCAAGCCTACACCTTCAGGGTCAGCTCTACTCTGTTGCCCAGGCAGGAGTGGCATAGTGCCACCCTCCTGAGTGCTGCAGCTGATGAGGGCAGAGGCAGCTCTCCCGAACATCCACCTCATTGGTGTTCTGCTGGAGCACGTGAAGAAACCGGTCCTGCAGACCCAAAGCTGCAGGATCTCCACAACACAGGGCAACAGCAGGATAACCAAGAGGAGTTCCAGTGAGGGCCCAGCATTGAGAGTGTAGCAGAAACCGGCGGCCTTGAACCAGACCAATGATTCTCTGCAATGAACACTAGCAAGTAAGATATATGGACAAAAGGGTTGACTGCGTGACTCACTGTGTCGCACTACAGCTTCCGTGACGAGATTCTTTTTCCTTCTCTCTTTTTTCTTTTCTCTTAAATTTTATTTTATTATTTTATTAGGGGTGGGGAGGTTCCAAAGGCAGAAGGTGGATACGAAGGGACAGGGAAATGAATGGGATGGAGATGCATGATGTGAAACATACAAAGAATAAATAAAAGGAAGTGGAGGTGGAGAAAAGGAGGCTGAACAAGTCATGTGGAACAAGCCAAGCAGCACTCTCCCAGGGCCCCTAACTCAGTTCTTGCCTCTTGATCCAGGGCCCCTAACTCAGTTCTTGCCTCATGTGCCTGCCTTGAGTTCTTGCCCTAACTTCTCTTCATGATGGACTGTGAGCCCCACAAGGACTTTCCTCCCCAAGTTGTTTTTGTTCATGGCATTTCATCCCATCAAGGAAAGCCTAAGGCAGTAGTCATTCTGATAGGGGTGAGAGAGAGTCTCAAAGTGGTTTTAATTTACATTTCCCTGATAGCTGAGGATGCCAAACAGTGTTGAAAACATTTATGGGCCATTTGTGTTTCTTCTTTTGAGAACTAGCTGCTCATTTCATTAGCCCATTTATTGACTGGCAGTTCTGTGGTTTGGGTATTTAATTTTTATAGTGCTTTATTTATTCCATATATCAAGCTCCCTGTGTGAGGTATAGCTGGCAAAGACTTTCTTCCTAATCTGTTGGATATCTGTTTGTTCTGCTGATAACTTTCCTTGCTGTGTAGAAACTTTTAAATTTCCTAAAGTCTATTTCTTGATTCTTGGGACTATGCCCTGCATCAGTAGAGTTCTGTTCAGAAAGTTCTTATCTATATCATTGACGATACCCAAAACAAGTATATTCCTTATGTTCTGCTCTAGAAGTCTCAGGTTTAAATTAAGGTCATGGAGCAGAAGAAACGGCTCAGCTGTCAAAAGCATGTCGTACTCCTGCAGGAGACCCAAGTTCAGTTCCCAGCACCTATGTCAGGCAACTCACAACTGTCTGTAGCTCCAACTCCAGAGACATCCAACGCCTTTGGCTTCTGTGGGTTTTGTGCACTCACACACAGATATCCACACACAAACACACTCATATAGTTAAAAATAAAAATGATGTCTGAAATTAATGTTCTTGGCCATTTGAATTGACTTTTGTAGAAGGCTGACGATGTGAATCTAAGTTCATTCTTCTGGAATGTTATATATTCAACTGTGTCTTCACCATTTCTTGAACTGGCTGTTCTTTTCCAACGAATGCTCTTGATGCCTTTTTCAAATTTAGGTACCCACTGATGTGCATTTATCCCTGGGTTCTTTATCCCATTTATTGCTACACATGTCCGTTTATGTACCAATACCATGCTGTCTTTTTCACTGTGTTTTGAAAGTATAATCTGAGGCCAGCTCCTATGATACCTCCAGCAGTGTTCTTTCTATTTAGGGTTGTTTTGTCTACCCATGGTCATTTGTGTTTACATGTGATTGTGATTTTTTTTTTTGGATTATTTTCTAGTTTTCTGAAGAATGTCATTGGAATTTTGATGGGGATTTGCCTGGTGAACATGCAGGTTACTTTTATTTATATGGCCATTTTCATAAAATTAACTCTGCCAATCCAGAAACATGAATGACCTCTCCTCTATCTGACAGCTTATTTAATTTCTTTTTTCAGTGTCCATCATTTACATGGTGTTTTGAACTAATAATTATTGTTCACATTTCTTTTATAGTATGTTCCCATATCAAAGATGGTTTACACAGTTCATTTACAGTGTGGTGAACAAGTCATGTGTGGCCTGCTTTCTACAGTTAGCTATTATGGAGCCCTCAGTGACATATTGGTGAAAGACCTTCCATAAGGACAAACTCCTGGAATTTGTCTTCTCTGGTCCTTTTATATCATTATTGCTACTTCAATGTAATAAGACATGCACTCAAAATTCAGGGGCCTGGGGTGATAGTTCAGTCTGCAAATTCCTTGCCTTGTAAGTGTGAGGACAAGACTTTAATACTCCCAAAGTCATGCAAAAACTCTGAATATCATAGCACATGCTTGTAATCTCAGAGCTGGAGAGGAGGAGCCAGACTACCTAGCCAGACAACCTGGCCTACTTGACAAGTTCCAGGCCAATGAGAGACCCTGTCTAAAGAATGAAATGGATGTCAACCAAGGAATTCCAGCCTAGGTCATCTTCTGACCTCTAGTGCATGTGTACACACATGCACACAAACAAAGTAAGGCACACACATGAATCTGAACACACATGCATATAAACATACAAACAAAAACTGCTTACTCTCTTGTATGTAAATTTTCCAAAGGAAACTTTTTACAGTTAAAAATGTGTTTTGAAGTTTTGTACAAATTAAAGATATGATCTGAAATATCCTACTTAGCATCTTCTCAGTCAAAATTTATAAAATGAGATCTATAATTTACCTTTAAGGACACATTGAGCATGACTTAAGGTCATGTGCAAGTCTTGAGTGTCAGTTGATGTAAAGACTCCTAATGAATTTTCTGCTCTCTCCTTGGGGCTGCTCAGGTTCCCTGCCTTCTCTCTCTTATGAGTGGAGGATGAGTTGAAAGATTAATCATCTTCTGCCTTCAGGTCCTTATCTGAAAGTGGCATTGCCACATTTCTCTCTCTTTTCGTTGCAAGGGACACAACTCTTCCCCCAGGGCACTTTTTCTTCATGGGAATGTTTTTGATACTTGAAGAAGTCATCAGGCAGAATATTGGTTCTCTCCTTCATGGGAACACTCAAAAATAGAATGATCTGTATGGCTTTATTTAGAAACCACTTTGAGACCACTTGACAGACACTTGCCAGCTTTTGTGATAGAATCTTCCAGAACTTTTTAAGATCCATTGCTACTTCTACAGAAGTTGTTTCTGAAACTCCTTTTTGAAAAGAGAGCCACAGGACTGAAGAGATCCTCAGCAGTTAAAAGCACTGGCCACTCTCACAGAGGACCTAGGTTCAATTCCCAGCACACACACATGGCAGCTCAAAACTATCCAATGCTAGTTCCAGGGAATCCAATACCTTTCTCTGACCTATGCAGGCACCAGGCACACATGTGGTGCACAGAGATACAAGAGGGCAGAACACTCCTATATGTAAAATAAAAGTTGAATAACCTTTTAAAAAGTTTTCAGCTGACAATCACAGAAGAGGGAGAAGTTTTAGTTCTTGTCTCCCCGCGCTTTGGTGAAGCGGCCCCGCCCATTTAGGAGATGTTTCCGTTGCAGGGCAGGTTTTCCTTTGCATCGCTGATCCCCTTAACTGAGAATATGGTCAAGTGGGGTCTCCTGTAATGAGACTCATCTGTATGGACATCAAAGCAAAGCTCCATTCTCAAATGAAAGATTCTCAAACAGACTTTGATCGTATAGTGTAAACAGCCACGGGTTCCATGTAACCTTCATTCTGAGAGGCCACGGGAACACGCTGCTCTGTACAGTGTGCAGCGAAAAGATGAAAGCACCAACTGAACAACTGGAACAGAATCAAGCTGTCCCAGTGGTGTACTTATTGGCACATCTTATCAAAAAAAAAAAAAAAAAGGCACATGCTGAATTTTAATGTTTTGCTAAGGTCTATCAATTTTCATGAGATTATAATTAAGAAAATATTGTACTTGGCAGAACTTTCTGCTATTATCAACTAACTGAAAATCAAAGGAAAAAAGCATGTTGTGTAATGTAATTGCTACAAATTGTGGCTATTTGGAATATTAGTGTAAGACCTGGAAGGATTCTCATTGTACTTGTGTGCTTTCTGGAAGAACAAATTGCAAAATTAGTTTCAGGCAATTTTGTAAATGTGAACACTAAATCACAGAGAGTAGTTTGTTTTTGTTGCCTCTCTGCATAGATTTGCTTTGTCTGAATCAGAGGCAGAAAACCTCATAAAAAGCAATAGCCGGTTGGGTGCTATGTCTCCGTGTGACAGCAGATGGCAGTATCGATGCACCAAAAATTCATGCAAGTGTGGTTTTTTTGGTGTGTGTGCGCGCGTGTGTATGTGTGTGTCTCTGTGTGTGTATGTCTGTGTCTGTGTGTTTGTGTGTGTCCCACTGTGTGTGTGTGTGCGTGTCTGTGTATGTGTGGTGTGTCTCAGTCCCGCTATCTGAGGAGTGTTTAAACGTAGGTGTCATCTGAATCTAGAATTTGTAATGAAAATTTATAGTCGGGATTTCTTAGAATTCTTCTCTCCATATTTTACTTCTTTTTAATAATGGTATGTATTTTCTATTGTTCTGTTTAGACCGCGATAACGTTGTCATGCTTTAACACAACAACAATAACAAAAGCTTGTTTAACTTTTTTCTCATGCAAATGTCTATTTGGCGTTTGACTAGATGAATGCTAAAAACATACAGCCAAGGCAGTGCTCTGGAGAGATGGGAATTCTAAACTCTAAACTTCTGTTTCTTAATCTTTACTTCGATGTGGAACGTTGCTAAGTATCAATGAGGGATCCCCTGTCCTTTCAGATTCCAGGAACTTCTTCTGTGGTTCAGAGAAAGTGGAAGCAGCCGCAGCAGCCGGTTTCTCAGCCCCGAGGGTCTGGACAGCAGAGCAAGGCCCGGATTAGCGCTGTGGCTGCTGAGATAAAGCAGATCCGAGCACGAAGGAAAACAGCCCGGATGCTTATGGTTGTACTTCTGGTCTTCGCAATTTGCTATCTACCAATCAGCATCCTCAATGTGCTAAAGAGGTAAAGCCCGTGTATTTACTTGAAAATGAAGCAGCTTGACATTTAATTAAGAACTCTTTTCTTTCTAAACAGACAAAACCCTCTCCGAGATACTTTGTCTGACTCGCCCACTCAGTGGTGCAGTTGTTAGAGCACTTAAGGCAACCTCAGCCTTCTAGCATGCTAAGGAAGTACTCTGGTCAGTCAGTGAAGATTCACAGCCCAATGGGAGATAAAACGGTTGTTTTCCTAACCTCTTGGGGTTGACTGCTAAGCCTTAGCGGGAGGAAACAGTCTAATAAAAATTGTGTTTCAATAACTAATTTCATAAACAAAAGTCAACTACAGTTATAAGTTCTTTTTCATGAGAATAAAATGAGTTTTCCAACTTTGTTCTCAAGTATATAAACAACCACACTACAATTCTTTCTGTTAAAAAAATATTTTTCAGGATAAAAAGGAGATAAGAATAATTTGTTTGGGGCACTAAACAAAGAATCAGTGAAGCAGATATTTCGTGTTGAACGTTAAACTGAAAGAAGAATGTCTATTCCTTGAAGTCATTGGAATGATTTCAGTATCAATATTAATATAACACATGTATACGCTATGTTAATATAATATAGTGTGACACGTGTTATATGTTACTTATTAATATAACATATTAACATAGTATATTACTATAACATACGGCACATTTTCCAGTTAGTAGTGCACAGTTTGTTACACTTTAGACAGCACAATGAAGTTCAAAGGACTTTTGACTAGTGACGTGATCAGCAGATGCTGGGGTGCAGTCTGGGGTGCAGTCGGCACATGAGCAGCCAGCCAGCTTCACTGGGAAACAGCAAACCTGTTGCACACACCCTGGTCCCAAGGCAACCTTGATTCCGGGTATAACAGATTTCGAACAGGAATCGCTCCTGTCCCTCTTCCCCAAGTCAGAGTCAGTATCATATTCCTCAGACAGGTAGGTTTGGCTAGAGTCAGACAAAAGGTGGTATAACCAGCTGCAAAGAGCTCTCCTCTTTGACCTTGGTTTTCGGTTGCTTAAAGGCTTTTTCAATGAAGAAGTGGAAAATGAACTTTTGTTCAGAAACGTTACAGCCTTGTATGTATAAGGTTTTGAAAGCTCCTGTTCCTGAGATACGTGTCTGCTCACAAGACGTAATTTACCCCCTGCCTCTGCTAAGCCTGGCCTCTCATTCTACTCCTCACAGAAATCAAATACAAATATATTAAGCGCTTTACTAGCTTCTGTTTTTCGATATTAAGAACATCATAAACATGAATGACCCTGAGTAGATTCCTTCTTCCTCTCCCTCTTACCTCTCCCTTCTCCCCCTCCTCTTCGCCCCCTCCCTCCCTACCCCCTCTCTTTCCCTTTCTCTTCCTCTCCTCTTCTTCCCTTCTCATTCTCCTCTATTTTGCTAGTCTAAATCAAATATTTTCAAAATGGATTTAGCACTCTGTGGGGTGCACATTTGAATTTCTTCTATCTCTGCTCTTGCACCTCCCCCTCTAATCATTTCCAGATGCCCTCTTGTCAATAATATTCATCTTATTATTCTGAATTAAACACCCTCCTTTCCTGGGGGGAGAATTTTAAGTTTAATTTAAAACTTTTTTTCAAGTTTTGAGCCACCTTCCTGTTTTTATACAAACAAACATTTTAAAATAATTTTGAAATTCGTTCTTACTGCATATATATATATGTGTAAATTTAGCCTTACCTTGCTCATCAATCTTGTTTTCATTTATTTTTCACACACTGTAAAGTCCTTCCTTCTTTTTCTTGTAATGTAATCTTTTGCCTGGTTGGTTAAAACTAACTTCCTCAAAGTGGTCTAGTGTTTCCGAGTTTTGAACTAGTGATTGCATCTTATGTGTATTTAATTTGTCCACATTCTTTCACTCTGTGTGTGTGTGTGTGTGTGTGTGTGTGTGTGTGTGTGTGTTTGCAAACTTCTATTACTCTATAGAGCATCACTTTGTCCCAGAAATTCATTTCTATCATGCACCTTTCTCTTTAAAAAGCAAACATAAGATAAAAATCACTGATAGGGCCACCAAGAGAGAACACCTTGTCTCTTCATCCTGGGACTTACTGAGTAGCTGCAAGTTATGTGGATGGGTTAGTGGATATCATTATTAAATTCTACAAAAAAGAGAGAGGGAGATTTGTAAGAATAGAATACAGTGGATTTTTTTTCTTTTTAGTGGTGTGTGTGTGTGTGTGTGTGTGTGTGTGTGTGTGTGTGTTGCTGCACACATGTCGTAGCACAGGTATGGAAGAAGCAGGGTTGCGCTTTGTTGTTGCAGTGGTGCGGTACACTCCAGCCTAGCTGGCCTAGGAGCTTCCAGGAGATTCTCCCATCTCCACCTCCAGCCTCACAGCACGATTGCTGGTACTACAAATGTGCACTTCTCTATCAGGATTTTTATGTGTGTTCTGGGGATCTGAACTCAGGTCATTAAATCTTCACAGGAAGTGCTTTTACCCCTTGTCTAATCTCCCCACACCAAAGAAAAACAGTGTTAAAATTGCTCAAAAGTGGCCTTTGAGGGTACTGTAATATATTTTTTAGTTTAACATAATATATGAAAACTTGAAGCTCATGAACCTAAGGACTATCAGAATCTTACCCACTGAAAATTAGTTATTGCCTGTATACAAAGACATCTCATGACAAATTTCAAAAAGGCTGGAATCATTAGAGTTGAGAAAATATACATCCATCAGTGCACAAATGAAAGTGGGAAGAATTTAGAAGTCCAATTTTGGACTGCTAATTAAAATATATACAATGGGTCTGGGAGATAGCTTAGTGGGTAAGAGCATTGGTTGGTCTTTCAGAGGACCAGGATTCAATTCCCAGCACCCATATGGCTGCTGACTACCATCTGTAACTCTGGTGAAAGGAGACCCAGCACCCTCTTTTTACCTCTGTGGAAACCATGCATGCACACAAGTGATGCACAGACACACATGCAGAGTATCACCCATACACATAAAATAAATTTTTAAAAATGTACGCCGTGGCACAATAGCAATAAGGTTAGTCAGTCACATCTAGAAACAAGATGACAGATGGGAAATTCAGCTTCTATCTTCTTGACAAGAGATTTGTGTTTCCTCATTCCAGCCTTTTCCTCTGAGCTGATCCAGCTTTTGAGTCACCATGTGATCCAGCTTTTGAGTACCCTGGAGGTTCTGATGGGTATCAGAAACCGTTCCAAAGAGACTGCGCTGTCAGTGCCTGTCACAGAGTTCGGGGCTGGGTTACTGCTGTGTTCACCTTGGGAATCAATTACCTAAAGGTCACTCTCGATTTTCTGTTTCTGTTTCTCTTCCTGCAGAGTATTTGGGATGTTCACACACACTGAAGACAGAGAGACTGTCTACGCTTGGTTCACATTTTCTCATTGGCTTGTATATGCTAATAGTGCGGCAAACCCCATCATTTATAATTTTCTTAGTGGTAAGTTTTCAATGTTTCTTCTTTAAGCCTCTCCTCAAGAATGGCACCTGTAGAACAGATGCCCTGGAGCAGTTCTCAAGTAGACGCAGAACTTAGTCTCTATTTGAGCTATGATAGCCCCTGACTAGATTTGTTCTGAATTTCTTCTTTTTGAGAGTGAATCCATGTCACCTAGATCTTCAGAGGGCATGATCTAGTCTGCTTTCTTGGAAAACTTAGAATAAACGATAAAGGGAAAGTGAAAATTTTGAGTGTCTTGCATCCCTTACATTAAACTCATGATTGAAAAGTATGAACTGCCTTTATCTGTTTTGTATAGACATGGGGTTTTTGGTGGTGGTGGTGGTGGTGGTGGTGGTGGTGGTGGTGGTGTTTTGTCAAAGTGCATAGCCTAATTCAAACTGGATTGGAACCAACCCACTTTTAGATATTTTTGTTTGTTTTTTGTTTTTTTCGAGACAGGGTCTCTCTGTGTAGCTTTGCGCCTTTCCTGGAACTCACTTGGTAGCCCAGGCTGGCCTTGAACTCACAGAGATCCGCCTGCCTCTGCCTCCTGAGTGCTGGGATTAAAGGCGTGCGCCACCATTGCCTGGCAACTTTCAGATACTTTTATACTTTCATTTTTGTGGGTAACACTAGAGTCGCTTAAAGAATTCTCACTAATCAAAAAAAGTATTGCTCACAAGTAACACTTAAGTTAAAAAGAGATACACAAACACACACCTATAACTAATATATGTTACATTTATTATTATTTATTATATGTTATATGTATGTATATACAGTGAGATATGATCTTATTTACCCTCACCTCTTCCCTCCAAATCCTCGTCATGATCTCCCAAACATACCCCTACCAAGTTCATGTTTGCTTGTTTGTTTTAATAACTCACAAAATCCACTTAGAGCTGCCCATAAGTGTGAGAGCACGGGCCACCCACTGGAGCTTGGGAAACCTACAAGTGGCCCTATAAGAACTGTGCTGCGTTAGCTACATTTTTGTTCTATTTTGTTCCCAAGTACTTGGCTATTTATTTATTTCCGTTTCTAACTAGTCATTTTTATATGCGAGAAAACTATTTACTATACATTTAATAAACAATGTGTGTCTTCCAAATTCATATTGGCTTTTTTGGTTTGCATGATTTGTCTAAGTAGTTAGAACTGTCAGATAGAGATAAGACTTGATGGGGAGAGAATTACAAATAAAAGGATCTATTATAGATCTCAAAAACTTAAAAATGAAAAAGGATTTTGTGTTCTTGCCATGAATACATAACAAACATTTGCATCTATTGAATTCCATTTAAGTTTTGATAACTGCATACATTTACTGAAATATCACATCCAGAAATATATATTTTTTATGATTTCATGTACTAAAAAGTTTAGTTGGTAAAAGAAAAGGAAACCCAATTTTATTTCTGAAAAGCAAGGTTGTCACTTGTAAAAGAATCGGTGCACACTGGCTAGTGCTCTGAGCTTGTACTGAGTAGGGGACACATGTTAGGAAGTGGAGAGACAAGAGCTGGAAGCAGAAGGCACAGACCAAGGCAGAGTTCTGGTATGAGGTTAAAGAGAGTCAGCGGGGGCCCCAGACTACCACCTGCCGCGTGTCTACCGTTATCTGTGAACGGTCACCACACTTAGTCCCTCAAAAGCCTAGTGGGATAGCTTAGGCACAAAGAGAATTAAAAACAGTTTCCAATAACTCCCTTCACTCTAATAAAGGTGATCATTTCATCTTCTTAAATGCCTAAAATCTTACTAATAGCTTAAAATAAGTACTTCCTAAGATTTTTCCAGTTTTTTTTTTCTTTTTCTATGTTGCCACACATGGATTATGAAAGGGGATTTTCATAAATACTTCAATTTATTTTTTTTCTACTTTGTTGAACTCTTACAGCACCAGCATCTTTATACTATAACACATCTCTGTTTATTTAGTAATACACAATGTAGATTTCATGGCTTTTGAAGCAATTAGGTGTCTATGCAATTTTTTCTAAGAGCCATTTAGTATTATTACAGGGTTAAAAACTAACGAGAAACACAGGGTGTTTTGACTTTAAAGAAAGAAAACAAACGCCAACTATTACATAGGAAAATACTTCATCGTTTAATTTCCTTTCTCTATTTCCTTTATTGATGCAAAATGCTCCATCTCACTGTTAGTTTGGCTCAAGGGAACGACTCATTTGTACCCCGCGCACTAGGTGTTGAGCTGTTTATGCATAATTCACTTTCCTTCCATTCTCTCTGGTCTGCCAGGAAAATTTCGCGAGGAATTTAAAGCTGCCTTTTCTTGTTGTCTCGGGGTTCATCATCGCCAAGGAGATCGTCTCGCCAGGGGACGCACAAGCACAGAGAGCAGGAAGTCCTTGACCACACAGATCAGCAACTTTGATAATGTATCAAAACTCTCAGAGCACGTGGTGCTTACCAGCATAAGCACACTCCCAGCAGCCAACGGGGCAGGACCGCTTCAAAACTGGTAGAATATTTATTGCTATGACGAGGAAACCCGACTCAAAAAATCCTTTTATACAAACTCTGTGAACGGAAGTTTTAGTATCCAGCTGATCTAAACCTAAAATGTCAATCCATTTTTTCTTAAATCTATCACTCTTTGAAAATAAGTAAATTTTAAATACTTCCTGGACCATTTATTCGAACATGTTATACGTTTAAATTGCAGCTGAATTTATTTTAGGCTATTTCTTCTTAGTTCTGTGAACTGAAGTTTGTGGCAATTAAGGGTTTGAAATTTTCTAATTCTTTTTATAACCCCTTTGTTTTTTTAATTTCACAACTCAAAATGGTTGCTAAAAATTACCGAAAATTAATCATTTCCTTCCCTGATAAAAGAAGTAACAATTACTCTCGGTTAGCAACAGACATATGTTAATCGACTTAATTTTTTTTTTTTATTTCACAAAAACTATCATTACAATGTGCTAACTGGGAGACCATTTATGAATAGAATAGCATACAATTTGTATATATTCAAAATCTACCTTTCCAAATCACATGAAATATATACTATTAAGCTTAATTTGCCACTAATTTTATGTTTCATTTACTAAATGTTCTCAGGTTTATAACCTTACAATATCTAAGATTTTTGTGTGTGTGCAATACAGAATCAAAATGACTATATTAAAGTAAAAATTTTGCAGCAAATACTAATACATAATCATTTTCATCTCTGGGGAGGATTTAACATTTAAATTAAGAGCTAAAACATCAGATTATTGTGTTCTTCAAGTTAGGAACAATGAGTTAGTCATTCTTGCTGAAGTAAGTATGTCATGGTGTGGTAGGTAAGAGGAAGTGAGAGAAGGTGGCTGCAGCCAGGGTTTGAGAAGGGCTATAGTCCAGGTCTGGGACAGGATTTAATAGCTGAGCACTTCCCTAGCAGCTTGTACTAGGCTAGCATTTAGTCCCCATCATTGAAAACAAACAGCAACAAATACATGAAACAAAGCTTGTTGTAGTCTAGTGGGGGAGAAAGACTGAGGATTCCCAGGCACAGCAGAGTAGTCACACAACCAAAGACAGTGGTCCCCACCACAACACTGGCAGTACTGTTACAACCCCCACCCCATACCCATTTAGTTATATTACACTCTGTGTTAGTCATGTTAGCATGCCTGAGGCTAAGAGATGAGAAGTTAGATAAGTAGGAGGCTTGCTACTAACTCATTCACAAATGGAAAGTGTAGAATGTATTTTGTATAGATGTAAATCATGGGATTGAAATAATTATATCAAATTTGTTCTCTGCAAAATTCTTCCAATGCAAGTATTCACTTCTAAACGAAATTAAAAGTTTAAAAGCATACTTATAAAGTTGTTCTTCATCTCATAGTGAGCAGTAGGCACTCTGATTATATTAAAATCAGATATATTTAATATTTAAGAGAGATTTTATTTGAAAATAATCATATTGTCATTTTGCCTTTTGCCCATCTCCTCATTCTCAGAGAAAAATAATGCCACCAAACTATCCATACTTTCTTTTCAAAAGTTTAGGATTTTGTTACCATGTGCCTTTTAGTACTCTAAGCCAAGACTACCCTCTTATATGAGGTTTATCAAAATTATATGGCTGAATATCGTGATGTTCTCTATCTATGAACATGATCATTTTCAATGTCTCCTTTCTCCCCTTTGAGGGCTTTGTCTACCATATATATATACTACATGAAAGGAGAGCTGTAATTTTCTGATTGTGATGACCATTAGCACTTTAAGATTTGAAGATAACTGCAAATCTTCTTGGTAATAAGCCTTAATAGCCTTGCAGCTCAATAAAGATGAGATAATGATTTTATCCATTATGGTTGAGCTTCATTAACTCTAAGTTGCTAGACAGTATTAGATTCTAAGATGCCAGTTCTTGTTATATAAACAAGAGGGGAGGCCTTGAGAGGGGGAAAAGGTGGAGAAGGGTGGAAAAAGAGACAGGGGGTGGGGGAGAGAGAGAGAGAGAGAAGGGAGAAGAAGTGGTATGGGTATGGTCAATCAAAAGTTATAATTCCTTTATTCTAAATTAGTGATCTTAAATGTGGTGTAGTCCCTGGACCATCAACACCTACAGTTCCCAGGATCTAAGATTAAACATGTATCCCAAACTTACTGAACCTGAATGCCTTGGGTTTGGTATCCAGGAGTGTATGTGCTTACAAATCCTACAGGTGATTATAAAACACTTCAGCTTTGAGAGAGCTGCTCTAAATGGTGTCTCCTGGCATCACCTTCTTAGCCCATGTGAAATAAAGTCTTTTACCGCACAGGTATCGACAACAGGGAGTAGCATCTTCATTACTGTCAGCCTGGCTGGAGGTCTGAGAGAAGAGACTGAGTGTCCATGTGGAATCTCACCCATGTCATCTCAAAGAGATAATGGTTTACGAAACAGTTGCCACTGTTCTTAGTGTTGGTTAAAGAAGATGGACCTTAAGGCACTTGTGCGCTTTATAAGTGACCTGGATGACTTGAGATTTTAAAACTTCCCATTTATCAATTTAATTTACTAAAGTTTCTGTTTTATGGAAGCAGTTCATTTTCAAGAATAACTCTTGCCTGGAAGAAAACTGATGAATAAAACTGATACATAAATGAAACTCTGGGAATGGAATCATGAAGCATGTATATACTTCTCGACATTAGGGCCCATGAATCCTGAACAATTTGGATTAATATAGTGACCTTCATAGGAAAAGATGGTTTTAAAAAAAACAGGAGGCCCCAAAACATAGCAATGTTGTTGGGGTACTTAACTACTTACCTCATTGTGGGCTAATGACACAAATGAGAAGACTTTATGGGAAAAGTTGATTTTGGAGCCAAGTTACGCTGAACATTGGACAATTTATCCGCCTTTATTTCTATTGTATTTCAAACCTTCAATGAGAGATATTAATGTCATTAGTTTTGTCACTAATAAGAATGGTGTAATAATTTTACCAAATATATTTGAGTTTAATGATTTATGAATTTTATAATATCATAAAAATCTTGATATTTTGGGTTCATTCATTTGGGGCTAAATATTATCCCAAGTTTGTGAGGAAAAGAAACGTGACTTCTAAATTTTCCACAATGTGGAACTATTAAATAATTATAAACTATTGGTAAGTTTAGTGCAAAAGTGTTAGGTACAGTAATACTCCGTTTTACTCCAGTGCACATTGATTCAGGAAGAATAGTAACTATGTTTATAAGTGACAATATGAATGTGTCTAGAGATGTTAGTAATCATTATGGAAATGAGGGCTATTAGCACTTTGATACAATGTAACAATATCAGGTTTGCATTAGCTGTGAATCAAACAAGAATCAACTCCATTTCAAAAACATGTGTAGTCCTTACAATTAGAAACATTTCAATGGAACTCAATTTTCAGTGGATAACTCCTCTATTTCATGTCACAAGTAAAAGCATAAATTCCATTAGATTATTTTCAAATAGTTTTCACATTGCTTGAAACAAAATAATGGGATGGGGGGTCATTATATAAGTAGGAAAGTATTAATTTACAATCCATTCTATTACTTTATGCACAGCAGAAAACAAAGAACAGGAACATGAAAAGAACTGTCAATTCTCCAAGTTCAAAGGGAATGTTTTTCTACAGTTTTCTGCTACTAAAAAGGGGAACAAAAGACTCCCCAACTTGCCATGTATTTCTATTCTTTTAAATTTTCTTTATGGGCTTTGGAGTTAGAAAACCTAGGTTTTTCATGAAACATGTTTCTATTATTGTATCTATATGTGTATCAGCATGTCAGTTGTTCAACAAGTATACATTTAAGGTCTTTTATGCCTGATTGTACTGTGTTTTCATGAAGATCTTTCTTATCAAAACAATGTGATTATATGTCTCCCAGTGTGAAGATTGAATTATGTAGCTTTTAAGTAAAATATTACTGAGAAGTCCATAATCACATCTACATTGTCCTGCTGTACTATGTGAAAAATTATGTTGTTGTTCAATACATAAATTGGATATTTGCTCATAATTATTGTCAAATCTTTGCAGTTAATGATTGAATTAACCCTGGTGCCATACATGATGACCAAAATATTTTTCCAATAAGTTTATATAACCAGGGATAATTATGATATAAAAGATTTTTAATATTGTTTCTAAGAGGAGGTACTACAATAAAGGTTAATATTAAGTACACAGATATTTCATAAAAGTTATACAAAGCCACACACTTATCTGAATCAGAGTTTTCCTCTGTTTGTGGCTGAGAATAATGGCACCCTTAATTTTCAAATCACTCTCATAGTCTGTGAATGCATGAATTGGTTTTCTCTGGGTAATTACACTTTTAAACTGTACCTCTAGTTGGCTCCTCTTTTACCCAGTTGATTCTCATGACTTTAGAATTTAGTGCAAATGGTTTAAAATTTTAAAACCAATTCCTATTCGGAACATTTTATTCTAACCTCTATGAAAACATAAAATGATCAAGGTAAACATTTGACTCAAGGAAGTATGATCGAAGAAGTATCATGTGGCTTCCCTGGAGGAAGAGAGCTATTTTGAAATGAGGTTCCTAGAGGAGGTTGTCAGTGGTAAGGATATTTTTGGGTAATCCACAGTCACACACTAGACATCAGCCCTGAAGAGAGGACATAGCATCTTGTCTTGCATCCAAGCCAATGGCCATGCACCAGGAGTGACAGAGAACTTGTGGATGTGTTCTCTGGTCCTGTACTCTTCACCTGATTCTGGTTGGTCACCTGTCCTTCTTTTCTCCAAGTCCACCCCTGTCCTGCACTCCAAAGCCCCAGGGCTGCTCACCACCCTAATATTATCAAATTCTATTAGGCTCACCTTGTCTCCTGAAGTGAGCAAGGAACAAATTTCAGAACAAATGAATAAAAGCTCAAGGAAAAAGGAAAACGAAAAACGAAGAGGAGGAGACACTTCAGTTTCTACCCAGGAAATGAATGTGGAAGTGCTAGTGTCTCAGTGATAGGATGTTGTGCATACACCCAGAAAAAGCATAACCAAGTCTTGTGTTCGTTCCATTTTTAGCAATTTGAGGAACCTTCCTACCAATTTCTACACTGGTGGCACCAGTTTACATTCCCATCAGGAGAGAAAGAGAGTTACTGTTTTCCAACATTCTTGCTAACATTTGCTGTCTGTTTTCTTGGTGATGAAAATTCTGTTGGGGTCATATAGAATATCAAAGTAGTTTTTATCTGCATTTCCCTCATGGCTAATGATACTGAACACTTTTTCAAATATCTATTCGTCATTTGTGTTTCTTCTTTTGAGAACTAGAGGATATTAGTGTTCACTTAGTGTTCAATTTTTACTGATACATATGTGTGTGTGTGTATACAATAGACACATGATGACTATATAGATGACTATATCATCCACCTATATTATACATTAGACAGGGGATATATATGTCTAATGTGTAATTGAGAGAGATTTTTCTCCCATTCTATCTTTTATTTGGGGGGTTGTTTACTTTTCTGTACAGAAGATTTTAATTCCATACAGTTCTATTTATTGATTTTTTTGAGGTTATTTTCTGTTCTACTTGAGTTATTTTCTGGAAGCCCTTGTTTGTGCTTATATTATAAAATGTTTTCCCTCTTTTCCTCTAGAAATTTTCAAGTTTGGGGTCTTGGGTCTTGACTGTTGTCAAACATTCTTGAATGGCATTGGTCTTGGCTCTTTTTAAAGAGTTTTCTGATGGTAACAAGTAGTAAATCCATCTGGTCCTGCCATTTCCTTTATGTTGTGACATCTAATTATCTGTCCTATTGCTTGCTTCAGACCTATTTGAGCTATTTATATCTTCTTGATTTAATTTCAGGAGATCAAATGTGTTTAGGAATTTATCCATTTCTTTCTGATTTTCCTTTTTAAGGGGGATGGAAGTAAGTTTACAGTGTATTTCTTCCTCAATAAATCTTCGTATTTTTTCAGTTTTTAAAGGAAGTTTTTATTTATTTTTTTAGTATGTGCATTATAGAAAACAAAACACAAGAAGCCAAGGACAAAGTCACCCAGTCACAAGCAGTTCAACTTGATGTGTCCTAGATCCTGCAAGTGTACACACATTTAGGTGACTGAGATTGTACAGTATGTACCTGCTGCCCCCACATTGTGAATATTCACTAACTAAAGACCCCAGGCTACATGAGAATTTTGATAACCAAGAATACACCAGGCCATCTCAATCTGTCAGACAAAAATTACAATCTTGTCTTCCTTGGCAACAAAACTTTCATAGAAGACAAAAATGGCAGCAGGCCTCTAGATGGAAGGACTGGAAAGTTATCATTAAAATTCTGCAATCCTTCAATGCTCAGCTGACAAGGAAACACAAAGCCACAGACCACATGAAGTACAGCATTCATAAGTTTATCATCAGATCTATATACTAAAATATGAGGAAGAAGGCGTGTTCCTGCTCAATAAACGTATCCCTATGCAGTACTGAAGGTGCACCTACGGCAGGAGTATGTCAATCTCAACACAGCACAGCGTTGCAGATCTCGCCCTGTGAGCCTCCCTCTGCCCCTCCAGTCAACCTAGCAACATGAATTAACTCACACTGTCCAGACATGGCTTAACAATTCTGTGTTCAAGAGGACCATTTTCAGTCGGTCTTTCAAGCTACCCTTTTAACCATATGCTCTCCTTCAGGACTTATAAAGTTCAGATGTGGAATGAACTTTGTGCACAATAAACATAAGCATCTTCCCAGAAATGCACATATGAATCCCTGGGTACAGTTGTAACTGTCTTCTAGATGTGGTGGTCCTAGCAAAGAGTCCTTCCCTCATCCATCCTCTTCTCTGCACAACTCCAGTTCAGATGATTCTAGTGAGAATAACACAAAGGCCACCCCTAGAAGACAGTCCTTCCAAAAGACTATCAGGACAATTATGGTGATTATTTTGCTACTTCTAACATCCTTTGGGCACTGGGACTTACCCTCCAATGCCTAGCAACATTAACTGAAATGTATATCTGAACACTGCTAGACCTCGGAACCAACCAACAGATACAATGCCTCATTCTGCACTATTCTTTCCCCTACCCACCTCCAACACCCGCTAACAGCATCTGCTCAAGACCAAGATTAACAATTCCATTCCTCAGTGTAACCATTCCTACGAAATAACAATCCTTAAAAGTTGGTGTTAACCCTCTGTTTTTACCATGCTGTGCATTTTTTGCATTTATGAATTAATGTGTGCATGTGAGCACATGCATGCCAACTGCACTTGTATGGAGCTAAAAGACAATTTGTGAATCAGTTTTCTCCTTTTATCCTGTGGATCCTGGAGATCAAACTCAGGTCACCAGCTTAGTGGCAAGCACCTTTACCTGCTGAGCCAGCCCACCAGTCCACTGTGCACATTTTTTTCTGGAGCCTGTTAGAGCAATTCTCTTTTCACGTCTACTTTTTAAGGTTTTGGTCTTCTCAATAATCTTATGATTAGTTTGCCTAGGAATTTGTCAGATCAGTTTATCTTTTCAAGTAATTAACTCTTTGACAGATTTTGTACATTGTTGATTTGGTTTCCATCTCATTAGTTTTCCCCCTTAATCTTTAATATTTCTTGCCATATGTTGCACGTGTAGTTGGCTTGTTATTATTTTTCTGAGACCTTGGGGCACATCATTAGAATAGTTGTTTTGTGTCCTTCTGATGTTTTAATGGGAGTGCTTAGAGTTGGGGACTTTCCTCTCAGAACTGCCTAAGCTACGTCTCAGATGCCTGAGCAAGTTGTGCCATTATTTTCTATGCTTTTGGGATTTTTAGACTGTCCTCACTGGTTCTTCAGTGATCCACTGTTCTTGTCGTGCTAGAAACCCCATCCAATGACTGAGGGAATTGGATGCAGAGATCCACGGCCAGGCCCCAGGTGGAGCTCCGGGAGTCCAATTGGCGAGAAAGAGGAAGGTTTATATGAGCGAGAATTGTTGAGACTAAGGTTGGATAAAGCACAGGGACAAATAGCCAAACGAATGGAAACACATGAACTATGAACCAATGGCTGAGGGGCCCCCAACAGGATCAGGTCCTCTGAATAGGTGAGACAGTTGATTGGCTTGATCTGTTTGGGAGGCATCCAGACAGTGGGACCGGGTCCTGTGTTCAGTGCATGAGTCGGCTGTTTGAAACCTGGGACTTATGCAGGGACGCTTGGCTCAGCCTGGGAGGAGGGGACTGGACCTGCCTGGACTGAGTCTACCAGGTTGATCTCAATCCTCGGGGGAGTCCTTGCCCTGGAGGAGATGGGAATGGGGGGTGGCCTGGGGGAAGGGGAGGGGGGCGGGAGGGGGGGAGAACAAGGGAATCTGTGGCTGATATGTAGAATTAAATTATATTGTAAAATAAAATAAAATAAAATTTAAAAAAAGTATATTGTTTTATTTCCAATCACTTACATTGTTTCTGTGTGTTTTCACTGTTTTTTTTAATTGCTGTGAAAAAAAATACACGACAAAGGAAACATAAATCGAAAGGTTTTACTTCAATGTACAGTTCAGGAAGATTCCATCAGTTGTGGCAGAGGAGGCACAGCAGTGGGGATGGATTGGATTGCATCTGCACTCGGCAAGCAGAGAGGGGAAGGCTGGTGCACAGCTTCCTTTGTCTTTTTCTGGATGTTTTGTTTATATGTATGTATATGAATACATACCACACACGTGGTTGCTTATGGTAGAGGGCACTGGATCCCCCAGAACTGGAGTTAAAGGCATTTGTGACCCACCTGATGTGGAGGTGGGACTCTGGTCATCACGGAACCTCCCTCCAGCCCATTCCTTTGTCTTTTCTATTCAGTACAAGACCTCCATCTATGGGATGATGAGACCGACATTGGAGTGAGTCTTTCACTGTCACTGACCTAATCTAGAAACCATCCTCACAGACAACAGGGAGGAGGGTTTGTCTCAAGTAGACAGGATAAACCTACACACTGAAGGTTCTCTTGCTGTTGATTTCTTCTTTCATTCCTCTAGGATCTGATAAGAGCCATTATTTGATTCTTCTGTACTTTTAAACACTTGCTTTGAATCCTATAACATGATCAGTTTTAGGGAAGGTTCTGTGGACCACTACAAAGAATGTGTATTCCCTACCTGTTATGCTATAAATATGCGTTACGTCCGATTTAGTTGTGTTATAATTTGCCCTTTTTAGTTTTTAGTTTGAAAACCTATCTAACTAAGTGTGAAAAGTGGATATCTCTGCCCACTGTTACAGCAAGATTTAGCCAAAGTCTCAAACAGGCCTTTTAGTGTTTGTTCTATGAAATTAAGAGCCCTGAGATTTGATGCAAAAATATTTGTGATTGTTTGCTTTATTAATATGTAGTGGTCCTCATATTTCCCTGATGAATTTGTATTTGAAATCTCTTTATCAAATATTGTAATAGCTATACCAGCTCATTCTTGGCTTCCATTCATTGGCTGTGTAGATATTTTCCTATCTTTTATCTCTCAATTTGTACATGTCTATGCCTCAAGGGGGCCAACAATTCCCTCATTCATTTTAGAGCATATGCCATTGTATCTCCAGGAGAGTATCTGTGGACCTCTCCTCCCATGTCTAACTGGAGTTGGAAGGATTTCATTCTAGTTCATTCATTGTTTGGTTTCTTAATGTTCAGGAAATTTCAACACAATCTCACTTCCACACGATCTAAATTATACAACTCTGCTCCTTTCTAATAACATGGCCACATTCTATCCTCATGTCATAGGTTCATAGGCGTTCTTCCCACTACAAATTTTCAAGTTAAAATAGTTTATTTAAAAAATTATAAGCCAAAATAAAACTTTCTACCACTGTCAGACGGGGTCACTTGGAGCTAAGTTAGCAATGGACTTCCAGATAGTCTTTCAGAAGGTAACTGTAGATACAAAATCTTGAAGATTTCTGTCTTTTGTCATCTCAAGACCTATCACAGAAAATAGTACCTTTAGAGGGTTTTCCGTAGGAGTAAGCAACCTTTTCATTACTCTTCAGTATTTTAGAATCCATCCTAATATTAGCCACAAGTTGACCAGTCTTCTATTGCAGAGGAAGTGTGTGTGTGTGTGTGTGTGTGTGTGTGTGTGTGTGTGTGTGTGTATTTTGATTATATTTTGTTGTTATAATAGCATTCTAGAGAAGCATTCTTAGGGTTAGAAGGACAACAGAAGATCTGTAGGCTGCTTAACCCCACCTTTGTAAATATACAAAATGTCATGGCCAATGGTATGTATAATAATCATTACTCAGCTCTTCACTTTCTTCTAATAACTTCTTTGCTCTTTGCCTCCATTTCATGCTATGTTATTTTTTTAAAATTGCATTTGGTACTAAAGTGATTTTTTAATAAATAAAGTCATGTCAAAATCCAGGAATTAGAGAGTACTGAAAATTTAAAGAGATGGGTGTTAAGCAAAACTGAGAGGCAGATACAAATGCATTTACATGCATGGAGTTTCAGGAAATAATTCCCTTTTAAAGTTACTAAGCCTGTATCACAGACACAAGACTTTAATTTTTAAGATATGGAAAGATACAAATGGAGATTTAGGGTCTCAGTCTCAAAGATTATGACCTATGCAGACAAGATCTGTCAGAACCAATTTCTGAGGATAGGATGGGGCATTTTTGTCCACGCCTCAGGTGAAGCGTGAACTGCCTTGGTTTATGTATCTCAGGACTCACAAGTGTGATCTGGTAACTCTATACACCATGACAGAGCACATGGATAATTTTTACTTAGAAAAAATTCCCACAAACTGTTTTTGAAATTTCAGAACTCTTTAGTCCTTTCTTAAGTGTTTTTGTACAACTCAGCTATTATAACGGGTAGTGTTAATTGTCAACTTGAATGACCTGAGAGATGGGTCTCTGGGAAACTGCCTTAATTTTGTTAATTGATATGAGAAGATCCATCCACTCTGGATGACACCATTCCATGACTGTGATCCAGAACTGTATTTGCAGACAAAGGAGCTGAGCAGCAACACACAGGCATTGCTCTCTGTCCTTGTGGATGGAGCCAACTGTCTCAAGTTTCTGATGCTTCTACACTCTCCACCATAATAGACTATAACCTTGAACTTTATGCCAAAATAAGCCCCTTCTCCCGTAAGTTACGTCCATCAGGAATTTCTATCAGGAAAAGAAAGTAACAAGACAAGAATCTAAGACAGCTATGATTTTCTTAAGGTTAAAAGGTAAACATTTTGATAAAAGTAAAATTGTCTTTCTAATGTTACTAATTCATTGATCTCTTTGGTCTCCCTTAAGTACATCATAGTACCTATTTTCTTCCCAAATCAGTGTAGAATTGGGCCATTTCTTTCCTATTGAGGTACAGTTACTTGCAGAGGGGGACTATGTTATATTCGAATGATTTCTGTGCCAACCATTACCTAGCACAATGCCTCTTCGTAAATCTCAAAATTCTTTTCCTGATTAACTAAGTAAGTGAAAAGATCTCGGCACAGTACTTTATATCGTTTAATTTTGCAAATCTGAGGAACAAGGAGAGATGAGGCCAATGTCCCACTAAGCATTATTTTAAAGATTTATTTCTATTTTTACACATGCATTTATGTCTACATGTATATGCATCTGTGTTTGGGTGCCAACAGAGGTCAGAAGACAACATCAGATCCCCTGGAGCTGGAGTTATTGGTGGTTGTAAGACACCTAATATGGGTGTTGGAAACCAAACTTGAATCCTCTGGAACAGCATCAAGTCTTCGTAACCCTTGGGCCATCTCTCTAGCCACCCTTGACAGCATTCAGTGCTGTTAACTTGAATTACTTAAAACATCTTGACTGAATAATTATCTTTATCGGGTTGCTCTGTGGACATACCTGTGATGGATTGTTTTGATTGGCTTAATTTGTGCAGAAGGGCCTAGCCCACTATGGGAAGTATAATCCCCAGGCAGGTGATCCTGGATTGTATAAGAACACCAGCTGAGCACAAGCTTGCAAGCAAGCTAAAGAGTGAGGCAGCATACGCATTCCTCTGTGACTTATGCTTCAAATTCCAACCTTGAGTTTTTGCTCTGATTCTCCTCTACAATGGATTATGACCTGGAAGTGTAAACCAAGTATACCCCTTTCTCTCCAAGTTTCTTTACTCAGAGTATTTTATCAGGGCATTAAAACAAAATTAGATAATAACAAAAAATTACAGTGTTTCCTATTTAGCTAGACTTTATATGAAAAGATGTATGATCAAGAGGGTTCAGTTCTCACCCATACCCACACAATGCAAAGAATATTTGAAGTTCAATCAACTTTCACTTGTCAGATATTAAAGAGGGTAAAGTTTCCTGTTCTGCATAGAAAAGCTTCCTTTAGTTTGCTAGCACATGTAAGGCAGGATGGTCTGGACAGAAGCAACACATTCGCATTGTGAAGAAGAAACTACCCCTTGCCAGGAGTTGTACATCATTTAAAGAGAAGCCAGGCTCTCACAGGAAATAACATTGGGCATGTGAAAACTGATGGAGAGCAAGAGGAAATATGAAACTCATGCTATGAAATACATGGCAAGCAACAGAGGGATTGGTAAGGCAGATTTGCATTCTGGAGAGTGTATCAATAGCCATGTCACCTGTGAATTTGAGACTCAAACGTTCTTTAGAAATCAGATAGGTTTCTACAAAAAGGCTTGTTATTCTTTTTTTTTTTTTTTTTTTTTTTTTTTTGGCATGGGTATTTTGCCTGAATGTATGTCTGTGCACCACAAATAAGGCCAGAAGAGGGCATCAGATCTCCTTGGAACTAGAGTAACCAATCATTGTAAATTGCCTTATGATGCTGAGAATAGAATTCTGGTCCTCTGTGAGAGCAGCCAGTGCTCTTAACCATTGAACCATCTCTATAGCCTCCTTAACAAACACACTTTGTATCTAAAACAAGTCAGTGGCAACAAGGCTGGAAAATACATAGTAATTTTAATATCTGGATGGAATTTGGGGAATAAGAGTGATCATATTGTGTTTATAATGTGTCCTGGCCATAATCCACTTTAGCAGAGGTGCTCCTACAAGAATTGAGACAGCTAAGAACTTCAAATACATTCACACATTTTTCACCCGTTAACAGGCTTTCTTTCCTTCTTTCTGTGCGGACAGTGAGGCTGAGTTATGAGCACATGTAGAAGTTTACTCCAGTGAACTTCCTCTTTCCTCTTTTCTCCCAACTGGTAATGCAACCTAACCTTCTTCTCGCATGTGCTGCCACAAGCACCAGAAACCAGTCAGTTTGCTAGACTTATAACCACACCACATGCTGGCACCTGACCACTGCTGCCTGCTCTGCAGGTTGTTCTCAGTAACAGTGGTGTTTCTATAGCAGTGCAGTGGAGGAGGCACTCTTATTCTCTGTCTCTGTCTCTCTGTCTCTGTCTCTATCTGTATGTGTCTTTCTGTCTCCGTGTCTCTGTCTCCCTCTCTTTTTTTCTCTTTCTCCGTGTATGTGTCTTTCTCTGTGTATCTGTCTCTGTCTCCCTTTCCCGCTATATCTCTTTTCTCTCTCTTAGGATTGTGTGGGTATATTACTCTCAATAAGAGGAAATCAGACACATTTTTCCTTCCAAGAATTCTCACCCAGGAACATCTTACATCAAAACCTGTCCCCAGGTCAAGTCTCTTTAGCAGGGCGTCTTGCACCTCAGTTGCTGTCTCTCAACAGTCTCCCTTTCTGTCTGCTGACCTGCTACATCACACTACATATCCTACGCTATAATCCTTAAATCCATCTTAGATTTGGTGTCTAAATGGAAAAAGAAACCATGGGTCTGTGGGCCAGAATGTATCAAAGGTTGACAATTTGAGACAGTTCATCAGTCTAAAAGGATGCTTCCCCAGGACGATATTTTTAAGAAATACTACTAAATACTGCTAAAACAAAATCTAAAAACAGTAGAAAACAAAGACAATAAATAAACAGCAGCAAATCTCGATACCCACATTCACGACTGAAATTCAGTATTTACTGTTTAGGTTTCACTTTAATGCAGAATACGAAATTGAGTGAATGGCTTTAGGAAGCTGAAGTTTACTCATCTTTCACTTTCTTGCAATAAAGTTTCAGAGAAAAGGCTGCATCTTCACAGTCTGCAAGGTGTGATCGAGGATTCAACTCCTTAGAGAGGAGGAGGCATCACTTTATAGCCTGCAGGTGATACAGGCCTAGGATTCCAGCCACAAGCTAAGAGAAAGTTCTCAGGCATGAGACTACCCCAAGTGCTACTGAAGCTACATCTGTTATATACACATTATACAGAAGGAGGAGGAGGAAGGGACCAGATGACCCAGGACATCTGTGTTTAAACTTTTCAGGACCTTTGTGGAGATAGTGACCACCTGTTTCAACTGTCAGTGAGGCCACAGTAAAAAGTGCTTAACTAATAATTGAAGTAAGATTTGGGGAGAAAAGCTACATAGATATCCACTGGGCAACCAACACTTGTGCAGTGTTTAAAGTAGGTGTTAAGATCTTTGATAGTTCAGGAAAGTTATCAGAAAGGTGGATATTTGGGGTGATAGAAGTAACTCCAGGGGCTGGAGAGATGGTTCAGCTGTTAAGAGCTCCTTCAAAGGACCTAAATTCTGTTCCCAGCACTCACATGTCAAATCACATTGCCTGCAATTCCAGCTCCAGGGAATCTAACCCAGGTTAGGGTTCCCTAAGACATTCATTAACATGCACATACCTGTACATAATTAAATGAATAAAAATAAACATTAAGAAACAGTAATAATTTGAAGAAAACCGTTGAGAATAAAGAAGTCAACAAATGCATCAAAACAAATATATATTATAACAAAACCAAATTAATTGACCAACTATACTAAAATTCTAGTTACCAATTGCTTATCATAAGTATATTTAAACTAGTAAGAAAAATTCTAAACTAAAATTATGAGCAAAGATACTCTGAGCATGAACAACAAAAGTATAGTTAGTTTCAATCAGGCAAAGTAAAAGTGAAGGTGGGAATGTGACAAAGGAGGCATTATACCAGGATTAAATGTACAACCCAAAGTCATAAACTTCCGCAAATTTGAGAATACATTAATAAAATACACTGTAAATATAAAACAACTGGATAAAATTCAAATGTTATATATGAAACAAATAATTATGTCTGTATAAATCTACTAATATTTATGTATAACACATCTGTATAGAACACATTTTGTTCTTAAGATGTTGAAGTATTTACAAAAATTGTTCATTTATTTGGTCATCCAGAAAACCTTAATAAATGCAGACAGAGATATGATGATCAGTCATTTTCATGCTAATTGACTAATGTTATTCCATAAATGGAAGCAATGTGCTACAGTGATTGTGATCATCAGCTGTAGAGTTGACCTCATTTGTGACCTTGGAAAGTTACTTATATTCCATATCTGTTTGACCATCAATAATATTAGGAAAATAATAAACTCTTGTTGTGTCTGTATGTGTGTATGTGTGTGTGTGTGTGTGTGTGTGTGTGTGTGTGTGTGTGTGTGTGTGTGTGTGTACAGTGTGTGTATGTATGTTTGTGTGGGTAGACATGTATGTGCAGTTGTATATGTCATGCTTGAGTGTATTTGGGAAGAGGTTAGAGATCCACCTCAAGTGTCTTCTTCAGGTGCCAAAGGAAAAAAAAAGGTCTATCATTTAGCTTAGCACTCATCAATTCAGTCAGATGTCTGGCCAGTTAGCTCCAGGTTAACTGCTGTTTCCACTACTCACCAACCCTCAAGTCCTGGGGTTACAAGTGGGCTCCACTGTTCCTGACATTTACTTGGATCTTGGGGATCTGAACTCAGATCCACATGTTTGTACAGCAGGCATTTTACTGATTCATCTTGCTCCTCAGTCATAAAAAAATAGTTTCTACATCATAAAGCACTTTGGAAAAGTAAATGAAGCAGCATAAACCAAATGTTTAGAACCACTGTAGTTTATAGTATACACAAATAATATTAGTATGAATATTATCTCAAAGGTTAAAAGTTTTATGCTTGTTTACTACTAACTGTTTTTATTGCTTGACTTTTTGAAATCAAAGGTCACTTGACAAGTTCTGTTCAGCCTATGTGCATATTTCCTATCAAGTAGCATAAATAGATACATTCACTTAGATTCTGATATAGTCTCTCACTTACGATTAGTATTTTGGAGAATTATCTGAGAATATTTTCTCCTTTTAGTTAAAATAGATTCTTTTCTCCCATAATATATTCTAATTACAGGTTCTCTTCCCTCTACCCCTCCCAGTACCTCTCCAGCTCCCCTCCCATCCAGATCCATTCCCTTTCTGTCTCTCATTAGAAAAGAACTGGCTTCTAAGATATAGCAACCAAACAAGATAAAATAAAATATAATAAGATAAGACGAAAACTATCACACTGAAGTCGGATAAGACAAACCAACAGAAGGAAAAGAGCCCAAGAGAAAGCACAAGAATAAGAGACCCACTCATTCATACACTCAAGAATCATGTAAAAACACCAAAATAGAAGCCATAATCTGTATGCAGAGGACCTGGTGCAGACCCATGCAGGTCCTGTACATGCTGCCTCTGTCACTGTGAGTTCATGTGAGCTTTGATCGTATTGATTTAGAGGGCTTTATTCTCCTGGTGTCTTCTATCCCCTCTGACTTTTACATTCTTTCTACCCCCTCTTCTGCAGGGATCCCTGAACTCTGAGGGAAGGGAAATGTATGCTTTTTAAAGACATTTTATTTAAGACAAATCAGAAAATGAAATGGCATTAATTCAAAATAAATTTTATTGCACTTTTTTTTTGCTTTGTGTGGGTGCACATATGTAAAGGCAATGATACAACTTGTTTCATTCAGTTTTCTTCTCCTACCACATGGGTTCCTAGTATTGAACTCATAAGGATTGGCATCAAGTGCCTTAATCCTCTGAGTCATCTCACTGGTCCATAAGTTCAAAATAACGTAAAAAGTGGAACCAGGAGGCACAGTTCAATGATGGAGCAACTTCCCTTAGGTGCACCCCTGGGGGTGTATATGTGAGGGTATGGAGAAGAGAGAAGAGAAGATGGCAGTGAGAGAGGCTGTGAACAGAGAGTGGCATAAAAAGGCAGACAGAACACAACGGATAGAGAACGAGATGGTGAGGGAGGGAGGGAAAGATGCAGGAGGAGTCACACAGAGACAGGGTACTTTAAAATCAGTATATGGGAAGCAGCTATACACACAAACCAGAAAAACCATGAAGAATTATGTTCTTATTTTCATCATAAAAGAACTGAACATTTATTTTAGAAATTAAGGACTAGGGACAGGATCAGAAAACATGTTTGCCATTGGGGAGAGTTGTGCAGAGAAAGATTTCAACTGCGTATGAATGTTGTAGGAACCATCCTGGAGAGGATAGTTGAGAAAGTACTACTGATGATGTCAGAAACTCTGGTAGAGGGCAGAAATTAAAATAATGTGGTTACAAATAAAGCCAGTGTGATGGCCCTATCAACTCGACTACACCTGGAATGAACTAAAACTCCAAAATGGAGGGGAACACCTTTGAAGAATTTTCGCTTAATTTGATGTGGAAAGATCCACTTTTAATCCAGGTCTTTGAGGTGAGAAAACACACCTTTAATTCATATCTTTAGAAGTGGGAAGACTCACCTCTAATCTGGTCCACACCTTCAGTCGGAAGCCTATATAAGGACATGAAAGAAGGAATATTTCTCTCTTTGCCTGCTTGTTCTTGCTCTGGCTAGCAAGTTCATTCCTTCACTGGCCTTAGAGCCCACCTCTTTGCAATTCCAGTGTGTACTGAAGACCAGCTGAGACATCCAGACTCATAGACTAAACATCTACTGGATTCTTGGACCTTCTATGGCAGCCATTGTTGGGTTAGCTGACCACAGCCTGTAAATCATTCTAATAAATCCCCTTCCAATACATACAGAGAAAGATTCTGTAAATTTTCTTCCTATAGAGAACCCTGACTAACACAGCCAGTAAATTGAGTAATGCTGTTTTCTCCAGTGTGGTGACACAAAGATAATTAAACTTAAAGGTCATTTTTTAAAAATGTATTTGAGGATCACAGGAATGGGTGCCAGAAGGTAGTATGTGAACAGTTGCCTAACATATGATCAAGCAGAGTTAAAGGTACTGAAACCAGCAGGACAGTGATGAAATTATATTAGAATTTATATTGAAGTATAATCACATAACAGAATGAGGCAACATGAGTCAAAGAGGAAATCTGTATGCTAGGTTTTATCTTCCAATTATTACTTCACTAAGACATATCCCGTTTCATATTCTGTGTTCAAAATGTTGTGTTGGTACTGTTCCATCAGGGGGTGAGGTCTAGGTCTGTTCCCCCTTGGAACTCGGCAAAATTTTGCAATTGTCTCCCCCAAAACACTGCATTGAATTATATACCCTGGTTCTGGAGGCTACTCACAAGAGTCATTGCTATATTTTGTGTATCATTAGGATTTGTCCCCTCTGATTTAATTCATGCACTCAAGAAGAGAGGAGATTAATTTTTATAGTACTATATTTCTTCTATCAAATAAATCACTGGGTGTAATATTGTCATTAGCAGACTTCTGTTATACAAAACCTGCATGCAAGCATAATGTGATTTACAACCGTGATATAATCAATCCATTTCCAGAGAAGTAATGTCTGATACTAAGTTATTTACTTAAATCTACAGAGATAATTTATAATGTTATAATTTCAGTTCATTGGACTTTAGTAAACCGTATGCATTTTGAAAATAAAACCTAATGTCTCTGCTTATGTAAAAATGAACATTAGCAGAATGTAATAAAAACAATAAATCATGTAGCAATGGGAACACAGATGCTTCTCTTTCATTTGCCTATCTCTCTCTTTTTTTTTTTTAACTTCTCGCTGAAGGTAATACTTTATATTTACCAAACGTAGATTAAAAAAGGGGATCAGGGTCATTTGTTTCATTGAACATCAAGGAAGTTGTAGATTAAAGTGAGGAATAACGGCATCCAAGTCAGAGTGATGGAGATACAGTGAACAGTTCACTTCCTGTGAAGAATTTGTGCATCACTGAAAGTAGTCTCTTTTCACACTGTGGCTGGGTTTGAAGAAACGGGGGCAGATGTGGCATAGTTTTTAGTCATCTTGGAATTTGAAGCATTTGCCAACATGAGAAACATCCGTTCCACATTTGAATGTAACTTGGATTTACAATAATTTTCCTGGGTTGTTTACATCGTCGTTCCTTTTCTATAATCCTGAAATTATAAGAAATTGACTTAATGAGACATTTTCATGAGTAGGGGACTAAACACGGTCAAATGTCTTGGAAGACAGTTACATTCAGGAAGCACAGCTTAGTGTTCTAGTCAATGTGCAGAGAATGCATCATTTACCCCTGTTATTGGGTTTGCAAGATTTCGTGGGAGCATAATATCCTGGGTTCACACACTGAGGAGAACAATTGGATTTGAATGTAATTAAGAAAGTTCACAGCTCAGAACAAATTGGTGAGGAAACGGTGACATCAGAAGCTGACTCTAATTGGCTGTGCTCTTAGGAAGCGAGAGCAGAAACTGAAAGCTTATTCCGGAAGTTTCCTTTGGGAAGCAAGCTGGTTGGTGTCAGCACTTCTGCCTTTCTCCCAGGTGAACAGCTCGTTGTCCAACATGATAGTGTTCATTTTCTTGGGTAAGTGAACTGTGATGCTAGTTCTGAATTTATTGCAATATTAACTCTTTATACATTGGATGCTGTCCCATCTAGCCTAAGCCTATGGGGACATATAATAAGAAATGCCAATTAGGTTACTAACTTGTACTCTGATGTTATTTACTGCTTTTGAGAAATGTGCATTTACCTGCAGTCACTTGTTTCTAACTCTGTGGAAAATATGAAACATGATCATTTAATTACTCATCCCATTACTCCTGCTCCTGCAAAACAACCTAAATGACTTTGAATCATTTATTAAGATCTATCGAGTTTCCATATGCACAAGAGCCTTTGAAAAATGTTATCTGTCTAGTATATACTTACAAGTTAAAGGACGACAAAGTTTTGTGTATCTGTTTAGCTTTGAAAGCAGATTTAAAAGGGAGAGCAGCACAAACTGTCCCCCTAATTTTCAACCTTACTACCCAGGGTCAGCTGAGTGGAGCAAAGTTCCCGAGCTCTGCATTAAAACTCTGCCTCTTGAGTGACATTCATGGCCTACAGGTAAAATGTGGGCTCAAATCTCTCATGTTGGGTCATTATAAGAAGTTGGTCCAAATAATTTTCCCTTAACACACAGCCCAAAAAAATCTACTTCATAGATACGTGATTGATGAAAGTTAATATTTTTCTTTAGGATATGTTAGCATCTACATATCAATTACAGGATGAAGGATAATTGTGATCATATTGGATATTAATAAACAAACCAGGATATTTTCTTTACTATTAGCTATGGTTGTTGATGAATGGGACTAAATAAGAGCCAGAAAATAATGAATGTTATTCCAAAATACATTAAAAAGAAAAGGGAAAGCAAAATAAATCAAATCCAAGAAAATTAGCCAGGAAGGAAAGGATCCTTTGCACATTTTCAGTGTCTCTATGGAAATTCTTGTGTTGAGAGATTTTGTTTCTCTCATTCCTGTAATGTTTCCTTATTTCTTTTTTAGTTTCTAGTATTTTTAGTTTTGCTATAAAGATAAATCTATGAGTTTCAATTTTTGTATCTATGTATCAGATTACACAAACCATATCACTTTTTCCTCAAGGCTTTGGTTGAAAAGGCTAGGGTCATTTGCTGTCATCTTTTACTTCCAAATTAACACAGAAACCAGGTTGTGTAAAAAAAGAAATTATGCCTAACATGGTTAAGACTGAAAATTTCCCCAAACTGCACAACTCTTGTTTGGTATTGTATAATTACATGTCATGATGAAGCAAATTCCTGTTGCCTAAAAATATAGGGGAAATGGTGAATTTGTTAATGAGTTTTATATATCCTTAAGAGGGTAATTCTTTACAGCATTCCAATTTCCTTGGAGTCTTAGAAAACAAGGCTTGGAAAACACCATATTGATTTCCAAGGTGGCTATACAAGTTTGCATTCCCACCAACAGTGGAGGAGTGTTCCCTGTGCTCTACATCCTCTCCAACATAAGCTGTCTTCAGTGTTTTTGATCTTAGCCATTCTGACAGGTGTAAGATAGTAACTCAGAGTTGTTTTGATTTGCATTTCCCTGATGATTAAGGATGTTGAGCAATTCCTTAAATGTCTTTCAGCCATTTGAGCTTCTTCTGTTGAGAATTCTCTATTTAGCTCTATAGCCCATTTTTTAATTGGACTGTTGGGTATTTTGATGTCTAGTTTCTTGTGTTGTTTATATATTCTGGATATCAGCCCTCTGTCAGATGTGGGGTTGGTGAAGATCTCTTCCCATTCTGTAGGCTGTTGGGGAGGGAGATACCGTGATGAATGAAAACCCCCAGGGGAATAGGAAGAAGCAGAGTGCTAGAGAGGTCCCCAGAAATCCACAAAGATACCTCCACTTTAGACTACTGGCAATGGTCAAGAGAGTGCCTGAGCTGACCTACTCTGGTGAAAAGATGGCCGAACACCCTGGCTGTCATGATAGAACTCTCATCCAGTGTCTGATGGAAGCAGATGCAGAGATCCACAGCCGGGCCCCAGGTGGAGCTCCGGGAGCCCAATTGGAGGGAGAGAGGAGGGAATTGTATGACCAAGAGATATTGAGACCATGATTGGAAAAAACAGAGGGACAAATAGCCAAACTAGTGGAAACGCATGAACTGTGAACCAATGGCTGAGGAGCCCCCATGGAACTGGACCAGGCCCTCTGGACAAGTGAGACAGTTGATTAGCTTGAACTGTTTGGGAGGCCCCCAGGCAGTGGAGCTGGGACCTGTCCTTGGTGCATGGGCTGCCGTTTTGGAGCCTGGGGCCTATGCTGAGACACTTTGCTCAGCCTTGGTGTAGGAAGGAGGGGACTGGACCGGCCTTGGCTGAGTCTACCAGGCTGGGCTGACTCCCCAGGAGAGACCTTGCCTTGGAAAAGGTGGGAATGGGGGGTGGATTGGGGAGAAGGGCTGGGGGGTGAGAGGAGGGAGGACAGGGGAATCCTCGGCTGATATGTGAAATTAAGTTAATTGTAAAATAAAAATATTTATCAAAAAAAGAAAGAAAACAAGGCTTGGAAAGAGGTAACATAAAAGAAGGGATTTACTTAATGTCTTAAAACTTGTAGGTCATATTTCTGACTCAATTGTGATTCTCTTATTTTTTCCATTTATTGCATAATCAAGTGTCTGTTTTGTATGTTTGACAAAAGAAATTTATTCAGTTATAAAATACACTAAATTAGTATTACTATTTTTTTGATTGTTTTTAGAAAACATCCCTGAAAATAACTTGTAAATATCTGGATGACTTATTAGCTATTTATATAAACCTTATCTGTTAAGAGCTAAACTGATGTAAGTCAAACATAAACTAATTGAATACCCATAAAACACACCCGTGTGTTAAGAATACAATCCTGAATGGCCCATATTAACTGTCCAGTAAATGTAGAGAGCATAGTGTTGTAGACAAGCCAATGAACACAAACTGCAGGGCAAGAAATTCTACACCTTCGGGACTTCTAAGCTCCCAGGGAGACAAAAGAGGGGTGTTTGCTCACTTGGGTTGTAGAAAAAAAGAAAATATAGAATTCATATTTCCCATAACATAGATAATGATCATAATCAGTTTTAAAAGACAAAATGTTATCCCAGAGGACAAGAATTAGATTGCTTACTAGAGGCCAAATGGTGAACTGCAAAGGGGCAAGGCAGCTTGGAGCACTACAGAAAGCCGTAAGATATCTGGGGTGCATGTGATAAAAAAATATGAAAGCCATGTTATGAGGAGCCACCCAAAGAGACTAAGCAAAGAAATGGCCATACTAAAAGTGTATTCCATACATAAGGTGACGTAAAGAACTGCTCTTAGTCAAATAAATCCAGAGGCCAGGCAATTGGCCAGGGAAGGCTGCTCAGTGGCTCAAAGCACAGAGGCACAACGTTTACAGGGATAGATATGGGACAATGAAGTTGAGGATGCATTAAAATGTCTCTCATGAACTGTTTGAATGTCTATATTATCAGTGTCATTGCTGATGAAGTACAGTGATTCACCATAGAGGATTAACGATGAGGACAAGGTTAAATAAATCTGAGTCTACAGTATGCCAATAGAGGAAATAGCTTTTTATCTAGGCTTGGTATTGAAAGTATTAGGGCTTAGATTATATATTAGAGAATCTTTAGTCTAGATATTTTATTTCAAGCCATGCGAGAAATAGGATTCTCCCTGAAGAGTATGAGTAAAACCAAGAAAGTTCTGAAAACAGAATTTGAACTGAAAATATATTTTAACTGAGCACTAAGAGGATGACTGGAAGTCTCACTCTCAGCAAATGGTATAAGGTGGTGAATCATCAAGAGACCGTTTCCAGAGGAAGAGGGAGACTCTTAAACAAACAAATCATCAAAGCACCCAGACACTGACAGAGGAGACACAGTCCTAAAAATGTTCCATTTTATGTTAAGGGGACATAAATGACATTTTTTAGAAGTTGTTTAGGGGCTGGAGAGATGGCTCAGTGAAGAGTATTTGCTACTCTTCCTGAGGATACAAGTTGGGTTCCCTGTGCCCATGTTTGGCAGCTTGCAAACACTTTTAAACCAGCTCCGGGGAATCTGACTCCCTCTTCTGGCCTCCATGAGCACCCACACACATGTGCATAAGTGTACATACACATAAATTGAAATAAATCTGTTTTTAGAAGTGGTTTTGATGGAACAAAAGTAATAATTTTATGAGTCAAAGAGTAAATAGAAGGTAAGAAGGCAGAGCAGGCAAATAATAATAGACCTTGTCTAAGAATCTTACACTGCATGGGAACAAGGTGGATCTGTAAGTATTTCTGTGGTTTATGGATTTAGAATTCTTTGGGTGTAGACCCAAGAATGCTAGAGCTCGGTCTATGTTTGGTTTTTTGAGAATCTTCCACACTGATTTCCACAGTAGCTACACCAGTTTACCAGTTTACGCTCCCACCAACGGTGAATGAGAGTCTTTCTTCACGTTCTCATCAGCATTTGTTGTTTTTTGGACAAGAGCCATTCTGACTGATGTGAGATGCAACACCAGTGAATTACACATTTGCGCTTCCTTGATGACTTACCGGTACTGAACATTTTATCAGACAGAAGGACCATTGTGGAGGGAGGAAGAGGATAAGGGAGAAGTCTAGCAGAGTCAAATGAGACTAAAGGATACATATTTGGGGAAAAAAAAAAGTCACAATGAAGCCTGTTACATTGTATCATAATTAAAACAGTTAATGAAAACTATCTATTTACAATAGAGAAATACAGAACTACGGGGAGGGGGAGAAAATTTGTTTCATCCTCATAATAGTTCTGCCACATTGTATTGTCCATAATTCTGCCTTTCACTATCAATAATTTAGATCTGAGGAAAATGGCCACCAAGCTGTAACACTGAGAACATGTCGTTGTTTTCTTGTTGTTACTGTTGTTCAAGCTGCGAGGCTGAGTTCAGAAAATGAATCCTCTTCCCAGACGAATGACTGTGTACGTTTAGTGCAGCAATGCTTGATTGATACAAACGGCTGTGAGCAGTCATGGAGATCAGTGGAACACACCTGCATCATTCCAGGTAAAAGCCGGTGTCAAAAGTCCACCCAAATGAGTAGCATCGACCAATGCAGCAGTGAGATTTCATATTATCTTATAGAATCCTAGGAGCTAAATCAATTTTCCTTTAAATTCTTCACTTAATCTTGATGCTTGACCTTAGTTACCAAACTGTACTCTTAATTACTAATGGGCCCTTATATAGCGACACTGAGGGCAGTTTTGGCAAAATTTCAAATTATTATTTTTTTCTCTCACTATGAATCCTGTAATTATATGCCTACTCCTAGTAACATGACTAAAATTTTATTTGCACATTTGTAATATACTAGGTATACTATTTTCCATTCCTACTGTGTCATGGACAAATTAAAATATGTTTTAAGATTTGTAAAGCACAAATGTTCGGAGGGCAGTTCTGGATTAGAGCAAAGATTGTAGTGACTGCAAGGAAATGTCAGAACTGAGCAGGCAGAGGGAAATGAAGAGTGAAGACTCCATTCCACCCCCAAACTCTTGAGAGCAGACTTCTACTGTTGTTAGAGGTGACACCCAGAGACCCAGCCACATAGCATCGGGAGAAACAGGAACAGGAGTGCTGGGCCCAGGGCTGAAAGTTTTTGTAGTTGAGGGTGAGGAAAGAAGAGGCCATGGCTTTGCCACACCCAGAGACTGCCTTCCCATATAAGAAGTGCTAGGTGAGCCGGGTGGTGGTGGCATCTGCCTTTTAATCCCAGCACTCGGGAGGCAGAGCCAGGCAGATCTTTGTGAGTTCCAGGCCAGCCTGGTCTACAGAACGAGATCCAGGACAGGCACCAAAACTAGACAGAGAAACCCTGTCTCGAAAAAAAGAAGTGCTAGGTGGGAGATAAATGGAATTGCCTGTGGTTTTGTTTGTTTGTTTGGTTTTGTTTTTGTTTTTGTTCTTGTTTTTCAACCTCTGGGCACATGTGATGGGGTTAGCTGCTCTCATGGGATGATGGGGTTAGCTGCTCTCATGGAATGATGAGGTTAGCTGCTCTCATGGGATGGGGTTAGCTGCTCTCTGAATTCCCTGGAAACTTTGGCCTATTTAATAGTGTCCTCATGGCTTGCTTGCTTTCGTCATTGTTGTTGGGGGGAGGGGAGTGGGGGAGGGTGCTGAGTGACCAGTATTTGTAAAACAGCAACAAAAGTCATCTGAACAGTCAGGTCATTGAGTTAGTATTGCTCAGAGTACTTTAGCATTCGCTAAAAGTACACTGCTCTAAGAGGCCGATGACATAGAAAAACATTCCCATGGTGTTGTTATGCCAACGTCGTTTTAAAATATTATGCTCTACCATTATGACAAATTTGTCTTTGTACTGCGATTATTATAATTAAACATCTCATGAAAATTGTGCAAAGTTTAATAAGAGACCAAGAGGGGAAAATGAAAAATGTACTGCATGACATGTTTCCCTGCCCTTTCTATGAATATTGGACAATATAGTGCTAGTGAATCTCACCTAACCCCAGAGTGTTCTGGGTCAAAGGCAGTAGCCTATAGTTCTAACACTGCCAGGGTCTCCATCAGCAGGACTCGAAGGACTCCAAAGGATGTTACAGAGGACTTTGCTTCTCTGCCCTAAAGAGAAAACAGAGATATTTACATCCATAAGAGAGTTACAGCTCATGCTTACACATTTGCTCAGAATAAAATATTTTAAGATGAGGTCAGAAGATGACAAAAAAAAAACCCATATTTGTTTTGATGATGAAATCCTAGCTATATTTGACAAGGCAACTTTAAATGTGGTATTAAAATATTATACTTAGTATGTCATCAGTTATAGGTTATTTATTTTAATGTTAGCTAACAAATCTAAGCCATTTGCAATGAATTATGATAGTATTTGAGTAATTATTTTATATATGAAGCAGAGAGAAATGTCCCTAAATATACAAGTAAAAAATTCAATCATTTTTTTAATCTAAAAAATTGTAGGTTAGAGGCAAATTAATTTTTAACCAGAAAATGAAATACTGGTAATTATAAGTGACTGATTCATTCAATGTTACTCATAAAATACTTTCTAAGTGTTAGGAAAACTTTAGAACCACTTACATACCTTTTAATATAGTTTTAGAGTAACAAGTACAATAAAATATGTCACAACAAAATAGTTAAAGAGACGGGAGAGCTGAGACTGAGCTGCACCCCAGTCCCCTGTGTAAGGTCAGCTTGGACATTACCGAACAGCAAGCATTGGTATTCCACTGTGTGCAGAACATCATTTCAAATACAGAAAGCTTTAAGGTATTTTGGAAAGCATTCTACAGGTGGAAACACTAAAATGCGTACTTTGTTTAAAAAGTCACTTCTAGACGGCCCCACACAGATTTCCTCGTATTCTGGCTCTTATAATCTTTCTGCCCTCCTCTCACATGATGGTCCCGGAGCCATAGAAACAGAAATTGTGTATCCACTGGGGCTGTCTGGGATCCGCATGATTTACTGATCTCTGGATTGTGTCCAGTTATTATTGTCTGTGATGGTATACATTTACTGTAAAGAGGAGCTCCTTGGGATTGGAGAGACAGCTCAGCAGTTAAGAGCACTGGCTGCTTTCCAGAGAACCCAGATTAGAACCCAAACACCCACATGGCACCTCACAATTATCTATACCTCCAGTTCCAGAGTAACTGGTGCCCTCTTCTATTCCCCATTGGCACCAGGCAAGCATGTATGTGGAGTCAAAACACACAGGCACACAAATAAAATGAAGTGAACCTTAAGAGAGGGAGGGAGAACTTCTTTGATGAGTGTTGATAGCTATATTTATCTCTGGGTATAAGGATAAGATTTAGGATGTAGTTAGTCTGGCAACTTGTAGTAGTAGATTTTCTTCTAAGATCTATGATCTCATTAGTAGGGGGGAAGTTGGCTAGGTGTCTACTGCCAGGCATGATTTCTTCCCTGTTGAGTGAGTCTTCATTCCAATTAGAACGCTGCCGGCTACCACTATGTGGGTGCCACTTACTGCATCTTTATGAATATCTTGCCAAAGTCTATTAGTGAAACAGGCTCTCATAGAAATGGCTGTAAAAACAGGATTTGAACAATGGCAAGACTAATAGACATGCTAGTGAAGAAAGGGAAAATCTCAGGGGATCACTCCACTGGACAAAGAACTACAGACAGCTGATGACTGCTGAGAAAGGGAGAGTTAGTCTCTCCTAGGGTTGAGGGGCGTAATTGTTTGTCCAATACAAAGTATCAGCCCTGAAAAGATATTCACACAAACAATAAAAACAGACTCATCAGGTTGTATTTATGTATCTGTGCAAACATGTATCTATCTATCTATCTATCTATCTATCTGTCTGTCTGTCTGTCTGTCTGTCTATCTATCTATCTATCTATCTATCTATCTATCTATGTAACAATGATAATTAGAGAAGAAAAGATTATCAATTTGACAGTGGGGATCATTGAAATAGTAGGAGGAAGGAGATTTGAGAGCAGTTTGAGGAAGGGAAGGGAAGGGAAGGGGAGAAATGACATAATTATATTTTAATTAAAATGTACAAAACTTTTAAATAAGAAAATGAAACAGGGAGTCCATGTGTAGCTCAGTAGTAGGGCATTTGTCTGCTATACAAGTGGGCAAATTACACCCCTCTTGGGAGGGATGAGGGTGGCAAAATAGAGTGAGAAAGATGACCCTAGGAGGTATGGTCAAGTTTCTCTGTTTTCTGTTTGATGTTCGTAGTTCCTAAGCATTGAAGGAATTCTTAGTAGTTACACTAGCAACACTACCCTTGATCCAGATGCTCCTAGATCAAAACCTTTCAATAGTGGATTGCTTAAAAACAGAGCCCAAATTTTATGTGCTTTTAACAGATCCTAATTTGTTTTGATTTACTCAGTGTTTTTGGGACAAAACATCTGACTTCTTTGGAGCTTTCTGGTTAACTTAAATACCCAGGGACCTGGTGCTTTGAGTATTGTCCCTATATCAAACTTAATACTCATATATTAAAATGCATCCCATAGCCAATAATATTTCTGTTCACTGTTAAAAACCTGGAGGATAAAGTCACTTTGATGAAGATCCTTTAGCAAACCAAGATAATCTTACTAAACTCATTAATTTCTTGGGTTGATGTACTAAAATCACTTTGTGAAGCAGAAATAAACTTTATATTCAGATTAATATCTTCAGTGTTATATGTGATTATGAAATCCAGGTGACTCCTGCAAGATAAATAACTCATCACATTGTAACCTGAGTATCCAGTCTTTGATGGAAAAAAATTTCCAGCTTAAAGAATGTCTTTGTGTCGACGACCTCCACTGTACAGTGAACAAACTTTTGGGGAAAAAATGCATCAATCAGACAGGTAATATTTATTGAATCAGCTCTTTATTTCAAACCTGAATCCCATTCAGTCACTGTGCATTCATTTGTTGTACATTTACTGTATTTAAGTTGGTAATATTTTATTGCTATGTCTGAGTTCAAGCAGGATATTGACATAGTTTCTTAAATTATTAATTCTGCTATATATCTAATGCTGGCTGTTAAAACTAAATTGGAAAGTACTTTTTTTCCTATATTCTAGAACAGTATAGAAAGAATTGATTCTCTTGCTTTAATTTTTAGTTTAAATAGTACTATAACTGCACAACTCATCATGTGATACATAAAATATAAATTTGTATGATTAATTGTTATAGAATTGGCCTAGTTTCAATGTCATGAGTGAACTTTGTAGTTTCTTGTTGCTGGTTGTTTTATTAGTCGTTACTCTTGGGCTCTTTGGGGAAGACCACCACCCAGCTACCAAATAAATACACACAGAGACATTATTACTTATAAATGCCTTGCCTTAGCTTGACTTATTTCTAGCTAGCTTTTCTTAACCTAATTATCCCATCTACCTTTTTCCTCTGGGTTTTTACCTTTCTCTATTTCTGTATCTCTTTCTTTACTTCTTATTCTGGCTTGCTATGTAGCTGAGTGGCTGGCCCCTGGAGTCCTCCTCTCCTCTTTTTCTCGCTCCTTGATCTTTCTCTCCCAGATTTCTCCTCGTATTTATTCTCTCTGCCTGTCAGTGCCACCTATCCTTTCTCCTTCCTTGCTGTTGGCTGATCAGCTCTTTATTAGCCCAATCAGATGTTTTTGACAGGGCAAGTAACACTGCTTCACAGAGTTAAATGCAACATAAAAGAATGCAACACATCTTTGCATCATTAAAACAAATGCTCCACAGAATAAACAAATATGGCACATTTTAAAATAATATTCCACAATAGTTTATCTTCTATTTATCATAATCGTATTTATATTATAGTGTTTTATTATTTGTTTTATTTTCTATGTGACTCTTTATGACTTCTATCTCTGTAGATCTCTGTAATATTCTGCTCTTAGTATTCTCTGGTTGTTTTTTTTTAATATCTGTAGAAGTTGTACTCTCCTTTTTAAAATTCATGTGTTGATAGTTCTCTCTCTCTCTCTCTCTCTCTCTCTCTCTCTCTCTCTCTCTCTTTCTCATATTTGGTGGTGTTCATCAGTGTTCATTTGACTATAAATTGGCCTTCATTTGCAACTTTTGTTTTTAACAACAAAAAACAGCCATTGAGTGCTCACTCATCTGTGGATGAATCTTCTGTAACCCCACCCACCCCACCTCCAATCAAAGCTCAGGGAACACTGAGGAAGAAAGCGTGGAAAGACTGTTAAGTGCAGGAGGTTGGGGAGGAGGTGTGAAATACTGTCCTCTGGACATGACACAGAAGTCATGGTTGCCTGCACAAGACCCACACAAAATAAAGCCATTCAAAATTCCAGCATGGGTGGGAGGGGAGCTCCCAAGCCCCCACCCCTAGCAGAGAAGTTATGGCATTTGATGGCTAATAAGAGAGAGAGAATCACCTTTGTTTGGAGAGAGTAGTACGTCCCAGTGGATGTTTCCATAGCCATTTCCCAAATAAAATTAATTTGACTAAGTGGGCTGATAATAATAAGAATAATAAAAGAATGAAGAAAAGGACATAGTGTCTGGAGTGAGACAATTTGGTGGGTCTTAAGGGAAGTTAAAGAAACCTGTAGAGGATGGATATAACCAAAATATGTTGTAAACATGTATCAAAATTTCAAAGAATACATAAAATATAATATTTTATAATTACAATAATAAAACAATAATACAAAAATAAGAAAAAATTGCCTTTGCACTCAGTTTTAGGTCATTTTATAAGGAGTCTTGATAGCATCTTTCTTTTTCATTGACTGAATTTGTTCCTTGACAACTTACATACTCCTTTTCCCAAGAGGGAAAAAGCTGGGCACAATTGCAATCAGATCAAAGCAAAACCAAACTCCAATAGTGTAACTATCTCAGTGTTCAATTCTGGGATTTGCTCACAGTATTCTGACCTTCAAAAGGCTTGAGAAACTCCACATCTTTGGTTCTGCCATCCATAGAACACACAGCTTGCCTTGTAGGCTTACTCCAAACACACTGCTATCTTTGGTGGACATCCCACGGTCCTAGCATCTCTAATATGTTGTGGTCTCCACTGAAACAGGTTGTACCTCCATAAATAGCCTTCCGGCCTCTCTGCAGGGATTTTGACCCTAGTACTTGGTGACAAACCTCAGCTTCTCTCCACTACCCCTTCAATCCTTGAACTTCCACTTCAACTTAAGCTGAACCTTTACAAAGGCCTTCTGGCTACTCTGAAAGGATTCCATCATAGCTGCATGAAGCCAAGCCTCAGCTGTCCTCCATGACTGCTTCATGCCTTCAAAACCAATACCATGTGGTAGTCTCTTACACATTACCAAGCTCAGCTGTCCTCATGAGATGTAACCGTTGCTCCCCTGAACTACAGCCTCTGTGTGCTGGTCCTGAGGAAACACTTCTCAGAAGATTTCACCTGAATATCCTTTCCATTTAACTTCTCCTCTGCTTCATCGCTTCTTTAATGTATAGTTCATTTAGAAGATTGCTAATTCTCGGATACCTGAGATTTCCTGGATACCTTTCTTGTTGATTTCTAATTTAATTCTAAAGTCAGGAATTAAAGTCAAGTCTATTTCAGACTACCTCAATTGCTAATTAAAGTAAAAATTTCCAAGTATCACTTTGTACACTGTGCTGTGTTCTACATGATAGTCATGCACCCATCCACAATGAACGTGTGCATTGACATCATAGCAGAGGAAATAATTGCGACTTCAAACACTTCATAGAACTGGCAGAGTTATGTGAACTGAGCCTCTTCGGGAGGGAAAAAGAAATAAATGTTGTAACCAGAGGCAATAAAATGAAGCTGCGACCATTTGAGGAACAACAAAGCCTTTGTTTTGCTGCATTGTAAGATGGAGAAGCATCTCAAGATGATGCAAGAAAGAAACCAGATGCTATACATCGGGGAAGGCTGGACTTACTTGCCTTTCTAAAGAGATTAGATTTCATGATTTGCTGTGAGGAGCTGTTATATAGTTTAAACAGAGAAATGAAAAAATCATCTCTTTTTAAAAAGTCATTTCCAGGGATTAGAAGAGAATGAGAGAGAGAGAGGGAGGGAGGGAGAGAGAGAGAGAGAAAGAGAGAGAGAGAGAGAGGGGGAGAGAGAGAGAGAGAGATCACCCATGTCCAAACTAATGAGAGGTGTCACGTTTTCAAGCTAACACAGTGGTCCTGAAACTTCTAAGATATACTTCAGTGGAAAATTGTGAATTATAATCATGAGGACTTGGTGACCAGCTGGAAATGAGTGTGAAGGCATGTAAAAAATTATGAAGAATAACATTTGCTAGTAAAATTTCACAATCTAATTAAAGAACCCCAAAGTTGTCAAGTTGATGAAAGGCTACTTAGCACAAGCACATGGTGACTATTGTAACACCCACCCTCTCTAATCAATCTCCCTTCCTTCTCCTTAGCCCCTTTCTTCCTACAACTTCTTTTCTATCATTCACATCATTTTCTTTTCTTTAGCAATAGGGAGAAAAACAACAAACTATCAAATTTCAAAAGCCAGAAAAAAGAAGACAGAGAGAGTAGTCCACCACTGTAGATATGAGAAACCAGTACAACAGGGTATGGAAATGACATTACTTTGGCAATTAAATGTGTCTTCTTTATTTTTTGGTTGAAAGTAGATTGAGTTGCAATCATTTGTAACATTTATTCTAATAGTGACTCAATTTTCTTCCAAGACAGTAAACTCTTAACTCAATGGCCATACTCATATCATTTTCACAAAACATCATCACTTTAACAAGTACAGACGAATTCAGAGAGATTGAAGTCATTTCACATGCAAAAAAATTTTTTTCACAGAATAGAAGTTCATTTAACATTACAATGTGAAATATGGACAATCCAGGCAACAGAACCCTTATCTGATGACCTGGAGGTGGAGACCTAAAGAGTCCCTCGAGTGTATTTCATTATGGACCATTGGAGGGTTACAGTTTCAAAGAGCCCCTAATAGACTGCCTACAATTCAGCTTAGAGAGAAAAGGACATGATCGCTTCAGTCTCATCATTCATTGTATTCCAGTCTCAATACTCTCTGCAAACCCTTTAATCACACTGCAGAAAAAAAATCCCCTTCTCTTTCCTTGGCATCACTAAAACAGTCCCTAGTGTATATAAACCTACATTTTTAAGTTTGGATATTTTTGATTCTGCCAAAGTTTCCAGAATAGTACCCAAAACTAAATATACTATCATCGAATATATTGTGTAAACACTTAACTTCTCAAAGTTTGAACATTAAAATCATATGTTCATTCATAAAATAGTTATGATTCACTTAATATAGGTAGACACATCATAATCCCTGGTGCAATGGACAAAAAGCTGAGTAAAGCTATTTAGTAGCTAACATCATAGAGTAAAACAGACATTTAATAGGATTGTGTAATTTAACCTGGTTTATTTCATATATATATATATATATATATATTTAGTTATAGCTGATGCATATCATAAAACAGATTGATATTTAAGTAGATATATAAAGCTTATTGGAAAATAAATATTTTCTAATAAAAATAACTATACAATGACCAATATAAGAGGAACTAATTACATGCAGACAATCTTCATTTTCATAGATTTCACAATGTGTGCCCAGGCTTGCTAGCCAATGTGGTCTCTGTTTTTATTAGTCTGACTTACAAGCAATTTATGGTGAGTTCTTATTTGAAAAATGTTTGAATGCTACAATAGTGTGTGTTTCAAAACATATTTTAGAGTTATAACTATGGACAAGTTTTTATAATGGTACCATAAGTAAATTGTAAGTAAACATTTTCATAGCATGAAGTTAGTCATATGGTGTTTATCTCATATACCTACGAAGCATTGAAAAAATGAAACTGTGAGGAACATTTATGTAATAAAGCCAATAAAAAAATCTTTGCGAATGTGGAGGTCATCTGAAGTATCTCAGAGGCAGAGAAATGGTTTAGAAACAGACCCCAAAGCCTATGCTCAGGGTACCCAAAACTTTATAAGGAAACTGCATTTCTCATCTTCTTTCTGTGGAATGAACATACTATGGGTTCCTGGCTCTATGCAGAGTAGAACAGCCTCCAAGAGCTGAAAATTGCTACTTGAGTATGGCAAAAATATTTTACTTTATTATGTGCAAAAGCAAAATATAAATTGTAAATGTGTATATATTTTACTTTATCTTGTCTTATTTCATGTGCATGTGTGTGAGTGGATGAAAATGTGTGGAATTACGTTGTATGAGGAGCTAAGGGACTGAGGAAAAAGAAAACACCTGAAAGAGTATAAGGAAAAAAAAAAAGAAAAACATCTGAGAAACCTTTCAGTAAAGGCATATTTCCAGAAGGCAATGAAAAGTCTTAAAAGTTTATGGGAAATAATGTATTAAATGTACATAGTTAATTGAAAGTTGTGTCAATTGTCAAAACGCAATGAAGACAAGAATGAATGAAGCCAAAGTATCTCCAAGAGAAGAAACTCAGTGCTAATATTATGTATGTCCGCAACTGAAAACTTAGTATGTCCGTTTCCAAAATTTCAGATCATTTGAAACAGATGCCTTAAAACAATTTTCCAATATTTTGAAAGATACTGAAATATCTATATAATGTATTTATATTCTTAAAAAAATCATTAAGAGTTTACGAACACATAAAGGGTAAATGGACTTAGTTCTTAAACCATGCTTTGACTTTATTCCTAGAGGAGACAGCAGGGTCTTCCGATCGGGTGCCGCTGTCAAACGTTCCACGACAGTTCCAGAGGAAAGGTTCATCTTTAACAGCAGAGAGGAAGGATAGTTGCATCGAAGCAGCAGAGACCTGCCGGGAGTCTGAGCACTGCACTCTGCTCCATGAGAACTTTAAGAAAGCCTGTGGCAAAGGAACTGCACAATGCCACACCCTTAACGGCCGACTGTTGTGTGTCGCCCTGAGAGAGAGCCTGAGAGAGACTGTTTTGTGGGGCTGTCAGTGTGGTTTCCCTTTGGAAGGAGACTGCATTCGGATTTGGAAAAGTTTATTTGAAGACATTTGCATCCAGGATACTCAAATTAATCAAATTCCCACCGTCAGTCAAGACAAGAAAGATGGACTCCAAGAGGACATGGCTTTGGGTTGGTATTTAAAGGAATAATTTAGGAACACTAAACATAATCATAAAAAGGCATTAACTAAAGAATACTTAATTTCTAGTTCTACTTGTCATTTCTCCTTTGAAGGCTAATTTTAAATTTCTCTTAGAAATTAAATATTTGTAAACCTTCATACTACGCCAATGGACAGAGGGTATCAGAAAGAATGAAGCATATTGCCAATTCTATTTATTCACTTATTCATTGAACCAAATGCGTAGGAAACATTTAGATCTGTGTAGTGAAAGAAGGACCTCTGTCCTTCATTGAAGAAGATTGCTACATTTTAAAGAAATTTTAAAATTAAAGAAGCAACCAGTGTGGTGGCACACACCTTTAATCCCAGAACCCAGGAGGCAGAGGCAGACAGGTCTCTGAGTTCAAGGCCAGTCTTGTCTGCAAAGTGAGTTCCAGGAGAGCCAGAGCTACTTAGGGAGATGCTGACTCAAAAAACAAAAACAGAAACAAACACAAAAAAAGAAAGAAAAAACAGATAAAACAGGAAAAGAGATAGTCATTTAATTAGAGTCTCTACCTTCCCACGATAAGTTCTAAACCCCTGAGATAAAAGAACAAATAAACAAAAATGATTGCTCTCTAGATTCTTGACTTCTCAAGGAAGGAGTTTCTCATGCCACTTTCCTCACAATTGTTATGCGACTTCAATGATTGTGAAGCACACACTTGTTAGATGACAGACCAGTATTAAAAAACGTTAGATTCTGAATATGTTTATAAACATGAATCACGTGGGAGTACATGAACAAGGGTTGAAGTTTTTTGGTTTGTTTTGTGTTGTGAGTCACTAACTCCAAAGATAGCACTGTCATTCCTTTCATTAATATGGACAGTTCCCAGAAGAAAGGGCTTTAGTGGAGGACAGAGGAAATATCCAGATCCAGATGTATATATTTTGAGTCTGCAGTATTTACTAGATATTGAAATGGTGAGCTCAAGTTCTAAGTATGAAATTTGTGTTTAATTCCATGTGTGGCGTTGGGACATGAGACTTGGACAGCAGGTGAAACTGAGAGGAAGGGATCATTCATTAATAAATTAGAAGCCTGTTGGACCACTCAAGATTAACAACAACAACAGCAAAAAGTTTACAGCGTCTTAGACCAGAGTGGTAGCAAGGTGAGATGAGGTCAAATTCCCAAGCTGTTGATACAAGTGGGTCAACTTAAGAAGAATGCAGGAGTCGATACAATTAATAAAAAACACCCTAGCCTGATTCCACATGGAGAGTAAGCAGCCATCAGTACTGATCGTGTTAAGGAAGAGAAGAAGACAAAGGGGATTGATTCTGACACAAATTTAGGAAATGTTTTGTAGTTTTTGATGCATTTGTATATGATTGTATAACTCAAGTGCAGGTCTGGTGGGTGTGTAATTGTTTATCCCCAGGGCACACTGTCTTTTAACTGTTTTCAATAATGGACCTACTGTTTAAAATGTCCTATTGGAAAAGTGCATGCATATATACATATACAAATATAACATATACACAGCTGAAATGACATGAGGTTGGCATTTAATATACAGACAGTTTATTGTACGGCCTACGAAAACAGCATACTATCTGAAACAAAAAGCACTCTTTTATACTAAAAGTAAATGTTTTGTGGTTTGGGCGATAACTACTCCCACAACGAGTTAGTTGTTCTATTCACACTGAGAACAAAGCCCCGTAGACGAAATGGCCTTGAGAGAAGCAGCTTTATTCTTCACGTATGGAAACAGAAGGCCCAGATAGTCCAGTGGGGTCTCCTCTTGATGAAGTCTCCCTTCTTCCTTGGCCTCTTGCTGTATCCTTCTATGACCCTTTCTTGATGTGTGCTAAAGAATGGGTATGGGAGGGGATGGAATAAGTGTAACCCAACCAAGCAGACCAATGCCCCACTATTATGACCTCATTTGCCCCTCACTGATTCCTTAAAAACACCATATCCACACACACATACACTTGGGGTTAGAGCTTTAGCATTCATGTTTGAGAGCAGAGCATAAGTATCGAGTCAATAACAATAAAGTGATTACAAATTGATGGGTCAAGGGTAGGTTTTTGTTTTTTGGGTTTTTTGTTTTGTTTTGTTTTTGTTTTTTCAAGACAGGGTTTCTCTGTGTAGTTTTGGTACCTGTCCTGGATCTCTCTCTGTAGACCAGGCTGGCCTTGAACTCACAGAGCTCCGCCTGGCTCTGCCTCCCGAGTGCTGGATCAAAGGTGTGCACCACTGCCACCCAGCTTAAGGGTAGTTTCTTAAATATGTTTTAGTCTATAGCACAGACTTGTCAATTTGTCCAAGTAGTGGTGTTTGTCTGTATTTGTATGTCTGCATTTGTATTTTTAGAAAATCTGCACGACTCACTGAAATCTGGTTTTTGTTTGTTCATTTTTTAGAATTTTATTTAATATGGGGTCGTACCACAGAAATAGAAGTCAGCTCTTCCTCAGAAAGACAGGAGGAGATTGGATTCTAGAAGAAATGATGATTCTTGACCTAGTCAATAGAAAAATAAAACTATACAGTAACAGCAGCTAGGGCAGTGCAGAGCCTGCAGAGGCTGGGACGTGCAGCACTGTGAAGAACCTGCCTATGGTTGTACAGTTGTTTGCTTGCAGTGGGCTGATGAGCAAGTTGCACAGACAGCCCAACAAGGACCCGTTTAGTCACGCAAGGATGTTTACATCCGGAAACAAGTTGATGTCTTGGTAACAGTTGACAAATAAGTATATTAATTCGATGTTTTAAAATGAAATTCTGATCATGTCGCTTTCCTTAACACTCTTTGCACAGGTCTGTTGCTGCTTCTTATATTTTGTGTTGGCTTTAGTTGTGTTTATTTCCTAGGAAGCTGTGGGTTATCAGCTACAAGGACTGCATACTGCTGTTCTCAAGGATGCCACCTGGTACTCAGTCCAAATCCAGCGAATGCTTGTGGAATGAAAGATTCTGTCAATGAAATTTTCTAATTCTAGCTTTATGAATCCTGAAATTCTTAGAGACTGAGATAATCAGAGGTGGAAATAATTTTAAAATTGCATTTCTACCTGATTTATGATTCTGTTGGTAGAGAAATTTCTTTTCCTTTACTTTCTTTTTTCTTTCTCTCTGTCTCTCTTTTGTTCAAAAAACACTCCTGCTGTTCTTTTTTCTTCAGGTTCTTTTTTTTTTTTGCTTCACTGTACCTGGTCTAGTCATTAGCGTTAACTTATATCTTCAAGTAACTGAATCCACAAAACAAGGCTTTTTAATTTACTCACATGGTTTTTCTTCATCTATCTCTCATTATTTTTTAATGTCAGGGAATAAATAAGTGTTACACCCATTTGTAAATATTTGGTTGACTATGCATTCATATCTCCAGAAAATTTTGAAAACTATTCAATAGTGAAATAGGTTTCTTGTTTTCTTTCTAGGTAACATGAAAAAGGGTAATAATCACAACTGGGATCTAACTACCCCTTTGCATCACGGTAATGCATATAAACTATCATTTTTATCTACATTATAAAAACTGGATGATATGATTTAAGTGTTATTATCAGGATTCTTAATGATATGCTGATACAAAGTTATTTGTGTAGTTTAAAGGCTGTAGTAAAAACATGCTGCAAAATCACAGCAGTCTTTCCAAAAAGGGTTAGGAAAGCAACTGCTTTGCCCTTCTGTCATCTATTTATGGATATTTCGAAAAATACTCTTTCATTGAAACAAAAGGTTGGGTAAATTTTAAGTATATTTTGATCATACAAGCCAACTGTTTTTATGTATGCCTGTAGTGACAGCAGAGGTAGCAGTCTCTCTATACATACATACATATATATATATATATATATATATATATATATATATGCATATATGTGTATATATTTTATAAGAATATGAGCATCTTCATAGACAGCAATAGCTGTGTAGCACTTTTGATGGGAATTTCTTATCCATCCCCAATTAACTGTGGCAGAACAATGATTTTGACTCATGATCCTGAGCTCACAATAAGTTACATTGTTCAAATTCTATTTCTGAAGATTTGTTGCTTGTTTTTGAGAAACTTGGAGTCAGAGACTTTTTTCCCCTAAAGTCCCACTTCGGTTCTGTCCATTCCCCACCAGTCTGGATCACAATACACATACACTATTGAAGAAAGATGATTCAAACATTGCACCCTGAAGCCTCAGTAAATTTATAATTTTAAAGAAATCGTAGCAACCTGGTACACTTTTGTACTCACCTTACAGAATTCCCATAGTTTTGTTTGCAAGTTCTATATGTACAACCTTATGCTTATTTTTTTTGACCTGGGCATTTTATTGCTTTCAGGATTCAAACAGATGCAGTCTTGTTTGGAAGTGACAGAGGCATGCGTAGGGGATGTGGCTTGTAATGCACAATTGGCCCTTTACCTTAAAGCATGCTCAGCAAATGGAAATCTGTGCGATGTGAAACATTGCCAAGCAGCCATACGGTTCTTCTATCAAAATATGCCTTTTAACACTGCCCAGATGTTGGCTTTTTGTGACTGCGCTCAATCTGATATACCCTGTCAGCAGTCCAAAGAAACTCTTCACAGCAAGCCATGTGCACTGAACATAGTTCCACCCCCCACTTGCCTCAGTGTAATTCACACTTGCCGAAATGATGAATTATGCAGGTGAGTAAAAACACACATACCTTGCTTTCTTATTTCGGCACCTTATTTATTATAGTCCAACCCTAACATTTGATCTCTTTCCATTGCTGGAGTTCCCACCATACTCCAAATGGTGTAAATAAAGCCAGACAATTCCTATTGTGAATCTGTGGTACATGTGTGGTATCCTTTTTGAAATTCAAATGTAAAATGCAGAGTAGGATTTTACAATAAAGAAACTCACCATGTTGAACTATGATGGCCTATATGACACCTTTTTAAAGATCATGTTTGTCCTGTGTGTGTGTGTGTGTGCACAAGTGTGTCAGTACCTATGCACAACAATCTTCATGAGTTGGTTGTCTTCTTCCATCATGTGGGTCCTACAATTTTAGCTCTGTTCATCAGGCTTTTTGAAATGGTCTTTCATCCCTCATCTAGCTCACTGATCCACAATCAGCTTTTTAATTAGCCTTTTTTTTTTAATGATGTGGTGATGTGATTAAAGAATCTTTGTTATTGTTTGGGTTTTGTTTGTCTTAGATAAGGTCTTCCTCTGTATACCAGGCTAGCCTTGAGTTGACAGTTTGGGACACAAGTAAGAAATGCAGGAAATAATGAGAGTATGGACTAAACTGAGGGGTCGTTTACACGTAGTCCCCACTGGTCTCACTAGGTCATTCTGCTTCAGCTTCCCAGTCATGGGATTACGGGTTTGTCATGTCCTGCTGTGCCTAACTTTTTGTAATCAAACTTTAGGGTGGGGGGAACACTCACAGTCTGTGTCCGAGCCTGTTCAGCCACTCGGCCTTAATAAGTCAATTAAAGGTGTCAAATTCATACTGGAAAACAAACAAAAAGGGAGACTTAGTCAATGTGGCTTCACTGGGAAGAGGAAAGAATAGATCCAGTGAAACTCCCCACCTCCAAGTCCATCTTGGGGAGGCTGAAGCGATATGAAAATCTAAACAGTCCCAGGTTCCAAACAGCCAGCTCATGCACTAAGGACAGGTCCTGGTCCCACTGCCTGGGTGCCTCCCAAACAGTTAAAGCTAATCAACTGTCTCACTTATCCAGAGGGCCTGGTCCAGTTGGGGGCTCCTCAGCTATTGGTTCATAGTTCATGTGTTTCCATTAGTTTGGCTATTTGTCCCTGTGCTTTTTCCAACCTTGGTCTCAACAATTCTCGCTCATACAATCCCTCCTCTTTCTCACCTCGCTGATATGTAAAATTAAATCAAATTATAAAATTTAAAAAAAGAAAAGAAATAAGAAAAAATCTAAACGGAAAACCAAGGATTTGCATGTCTAAACAGCTCCCGTCAGGCTGTCACCTGCCCACCACTGACCCACCCTTGTCTGGGCTTCGGTCTCATCTGGTAAGGTGACTGGACAGGTGTCAGAAATTGCGAAGTCTCTTTTGGGGAGACATGTTCCCCAGCCTTAGGTCTTGCTGTCTAACAAAAAAAAATCTAAAAATAATTTTGTGAATTCTATTTGGTATAATTAGGAATGTGGAAAAAGAACAAAGTGTATCCCATGGTGTAGGAAAACTGGATTGGAAGTGCCTTATTTGAATTTTCCTGGTGGGGGACAGTGTCTAAATGTCAGCTCCAAAATCATATGAGGTTAAAAATGTTTTTTAATTAACTTCTCTCAGGTAGTTCATACTGCAAATCGTCACCCATTGTGATAAAAAAAATAGTTACAATGGAAACCCTCCTGAGAGGACAGTAATTTACACAGTTTCACTGTTTTTTAATCCACACTCCCTATAGCAACATTTGAAAGTACAAAGTTAGCTTTGTGCTGGTACCCAGAACTCATTTTGCCCCATGCCAGTGTTTCCCTAGGTGAGAGGTCATCACATATTAATGTGAAATCACTCTATTCACATGTTAAATCCAGGTCTTCACTCTTGTTCTAGGACACACTATCGAACATTCCAATCAGAATGCTGGCCCCGGGTGACAGGGAAGTGCCAGGATGACGAGACCTGCATCAGCACATTAGGCAAGCAAGACCTTACTTGTTCTGGGAGTGACAGCTGTAGGGCTGCCTACCTGGGAACCTTTGGGACAGCCCTTCAAGTGCCATGTGCTTGCAGGAGCATCACGCAGAGCGAAGAACCTTTGTGCATGGCTCTCCAGCACATGCTTCATAGCAAATCATGTTTCAGTAAGTTATCCAACTGAAAGGTTGCCTGTATATCTTCTTACTACATAAATATCTACCTTGTTTTCTACTATATCGTAAAGACAGAAATCCGGCCAACCCTTACCAAAAATGTTCATAAAGAGAATTTGCATTTGCTATTTTGGTTATGTTCTGGTTTTGCTTTTTTTTCCTCATTTATCAGAAAGTGATGCACGTTTTAAGTTGATAAGTTACTACTGAGTATCATTTATTGATTTTAATGTGAAAAGCATAAAAGACTTCATTTACATGCTAAAATATCCATTATTCATAGTTTTATAACAACAAATCATCTCCAAACATTGACCTAAAATCATTAACCATGTAGCCACTTAGCTGAACAGTTTTATACACTTGCCTTGGGTGCATTTTACTGACCTTTTTGTCTAGATTCGATCATGTATTGACACTCATCCCTCATGGTTCTACTGAGGCTGGATTGGCCAAGATGGTATTCAGCAAGCATTGCTGGCTAGTACAGCATGGTTCTCCTCTGGTGTTCCCTTCAGCAATATAGTCGGTGACTGTTACCCGGTGCAGCAGAATTCCTAGTGACTAAGACCAAATATGCAGGTATTTATCAAGTATCTCCTAAGGTCATATTGTAAATATACCAGTGAACAAAGCAAGTCACACGCCAATCTCAGAAAGACTGTGGGAACAAACTACAAAAGGATGTAGATAGTCAGAATGGGCTCAACAGGGTATATTGATTTAAAAATCTATAATTTAAACTGTCCTGCCCCTGAAGTATATCTTTCTTTTCATTTATTTTTCTGTCCCCTTAGACTTAGCAAATGTACTGATCAACCTCTAATGATAAGATGGAAAAAATATTTTTTAAAAAGTTAATTTTTAATGTAAGGAAAAGAAAAATGAAATTTAGACCCTGGTCTTAGTTAGGATTGAGTATTCTGACATCAATCACTCTCTTAAGATTCTCAACCTGTTTTCTGAAAACAGTTCATAGGACATACCAGAGGAGCTTGGAGCTTCTGCTCACATGTGTTTCTGTCTGCTATCATTCCCCTCTTGGCAGTGACAGTCAGTTTTCCAGAGAGTAACCTGTCTCTAGCTGGTGCCCTTAGCCTTGCCCCTGTCTAGTCCAGAGAAGTTCCTGTGCTTTTTGTTTCAGCCCCCTTCCCTCTTACACACTGATCAATGAATGGGTTGGATGGAGCTTTTGTAGTTGAAAGGATTGTAACAGTGATCAGTCTTATCTCTTACTCATGGCCTACAGTCAACTTTATTCAGTATTAGAGAGTTCATATTTTAACCTCTCTCATCTCTGATTGAAAAACCTAATGAGTTCCTATCTCAAGTCATCATTCTTATTGGAAAACCTTACACAATACTAATGTAGAAGAGTCAATTTATAATGTCATCCATGCTATTTAGTAAAACACCCTATCTGAACTATGGATTATTCAGATGTTGAATCTCCCTTTCTTGTTGTACAGGATTACTTGTCTCTGTAGAATATGAAGGCTGTCTGTCTCCCCAGACTTCAGTAGGCATTTCCCACCTACCTGACTGCTACATATTCCTGCATATTTCAGGTTTATATTGTGGTAGTATTACCTACAATTACCTACTTCAATCTGCACATTTTTATACAGGTATCTATATGACCAGCTCATTTGACTTATAACACCAAATATCAGTAGATTAACACAAGATTTAATTTTGAACCAACATAAAATAATTACAAAGAGAACAGTTGGGATAAGAATTGAAGATTGCCGGGCGGTGGTGGCGCACGCCTTTAATCCCAGCACTCGGGAGGCAGAGCCAGGCGGATCTCTGTGAGTTCGAGGCCAGCCTGGACTACCAAGTGAGTTCCAGGAAAGGCGCAAAGCTACACAGAGAAACCCTGTCTCGAAAAACCAAAAAAAAAAAAAAGAATTGAAGATTGTTGAAATTCAGATGTCACTGAGCTATTTAGTGTTCTCCTGCTAAGTGGCTAAATTCTCTTCTGAGTCCACCCTGCTAATGAAGAATGCAAAAATTTTCCCTGGCTATTTTGGTGGGTCAGTCCTAAGTGCTTTGTACATCACTTTCACTTTGACTCATCTGCAAGGGAAGCTGGGAAACACAGTTCACTTCTGTGCCTGGTAGGGAGGAAAATGAATTCCGTGTGTATCTAACCAATCTCTGCCACTGTATCTCCAACAAAATATATACAGCCATGTCACCCTAATACTGAGCCAATTAATTTATCGTTAATGCTGGGAAGTGCAAATTCATGTTTGAATATGTCTGTCACATATGGCAGAATACAAAGCATAGAGCAATGGATTATGGGTAGTAGTCTATTTGAAACCACTTTTGAAGAACAGAAGGAGTCAACATTTCGTGCAAATATATTATATGTAGTTTCTTCTAATTCATTGAACTAAAATTTGCTTCTTTTGGATCTCTCTACAATGCTTTGTAAATATATTCTGAGACTCTGTCATCTTTGCCACTATATAGCAACATCCTTCATTGCATGGGTATAGCGATGTTGTAAAGAGATCCTGCAGACTTGCATTGTATAACCCATTAATGTCACCATGTTATGGAGGACACTTTTCATAGGGAATAGAGTTTCCCAGAGAAATTTGCCCCATTTTCACCACTAGTATATATTCTTCCACATGCCACTCCCCCTCACTTCTCTGTTTACAAATTTCCATATTTGTTCTTTCATCTCACTAACAATGAGTCTCACTTCTAGTCACTTCTCTTTCCAGACAAAGCAAAATTAATAACCATGCATGTACTGCCTACAGGGAGGACTTTTCTTTCACACTGCTCCCTAGGACTATCTCTGTTTTTGCAGTGTGTAGCAGATGTCCATGAAGAGTGAGCATTGACACTCTGTTACACTCACTTTTCCTAGAATTGGGTGCCTAACTGATCTAATAATATCCAACAGGAGATGTATTTCAAGTGGCAAATAGCCTTTGTGTGTTGCTTTTGTTTTTCATACTTTACAAAGACTATATACACATTTTCAAGATTTTCTATTAAGTGCCCACAGAAGTTCCCTTAATTTTATTTGGAATAATTATTCTTTTATAATGAAGACCCTGATAGCCACAAACAGAGCTCCAAGCCAAAGAGAATTAATTAACATTGAATTTTTGGTTCTCAAACTTGAAACATGCTCAGAAATATCTACAGAATTTCTTACGTACAACCAATCTCACCCGGATGACTCTGACTGTCACCAACTTGGGGAGCCACAGCTCTCACCCACACGTGGAAAAACTCCGTCCACGACTCTCACCCACATGTGGAAAAACTCTGTCCACGGCTCTCACCCACACGTGGAAAAACTCCGTCTCCAGTGTCAGGCCTAGAGCCTCTTTCACATGCACACACATCTCCGGGAATAAGAAAGGTCTGTATGGGAAAAGGCAAGGCTACTAAGAGCAAATCCATGCAGCTCCTCAGGTGGCACGTTTTGCCCAATCCTCCCAGACAACTCTGGATACCCAATGGTCACTCTAAACAACAACAACAACAACAAAAAAAAAGCAAGAGTGAATCAATACATCCATAGAAGAGGGAACAAAGCAGTATATATTCTATCTAGGCAGCAGCCCCGTCCTTGAATGCAATCAAGTTTCTTTTCCTTGTTAGAATTCTTCTAATAATAATGCTTTCCAATTAAAAGCCTCAATCTTTTATGTTTCATCTTAAGCCAGAATTTTTTCAACTAAAATTTTTAAGCAAAAGAACCAGAAGCTAACAAGTGCAGGCTGCAGCCGCTCTCTGGAATACAAACACTGGCTGTCTTTGTTTCCTGACACCATTCTTACACGCCAATCTACTTTTCTAAGTTCTAAGTAGTAGGTGTCTATTTCAAGTTCATACTTGGGGTCATGTGAGCACTGCAAATAAGCCACCATGCTAATGCAGTTATGTTCTTAAATGTGTACTTCACCTAAGCTATGTCTTGACTGTATCTACCTGAAAAAATAGAGATGGAAGATTGTTTTCAATAGGTTTCTACATCCAGCTGACTTTCATGAAATATTGGATGTTTATGTATTAAGTGGATACATAGTCTTAAGAAGAGGACCATTCTGGCCATTCCATGCTCTAGCATTTAGTTTCACTTTATAACCCCATTTCTTCATCACTGTTGACATCGAGATACTAGTAAAACTTTTATTGATCATGCTTGTCTGCATTCAATAGATAGATGATTTATTCTTGCCTGACAGCATTTGTCTGACTCTTTCTTAGTGAAGGTCTGGATCCAGAATCCCACTCCGTCAGTGCATCCGTAGACAGTCGTTTAAACCAACCCATGTACGTGGGATAGTGTGTAGCATAACATTGCACATTTTTCTGTACTCATAAAAATTTGCTCATTTTACAAACAATAAAGACTGTGAAGATGAGTTAATACAAGCTCAAGCTTATCTTTTAAAATGTGTGTCTTAATTTTTAGTGTCATGAAATCACTGTCTGATTAAGAAGGACTATACACTAGAAATAAAATAATGAGCAAAGTGAACTGTGAAAGACATTCCCATTCAATTCTCTCTGTCTTTCTCTGTCTTCCCTCTCTCTCACACACATACACATACATACATACACACACACACACACACACACACACACACACACACACACACACACATACACACACATACACACACACACACACACACACACACACACACACACACACACACACGACCATTTCTTATAGCCAAATCATAAGGCAGTGTTCCAAGAACTTTATGTTAAGTTCTGTCTTTAAATAAACCACTTGAACAAGCCAAAACCACTGACTTTTTCTTGGTGTCTACACAAAACTCTAATTCAAGTTTAGTTTCCTTCAAATTCAGTCCAGGTGCTAAAATAGTCTTCTGGTTTTCAAGGAACATTCAACAGACTTTCTCTAGTCTATATTCATATTTATTATGCAGTTGCTAAGCATTAAATATGTTGTATTTTCTGGATTAAAGTGGCTCCATGGT